TGGTCTGGCCATGTTGTCTGAACGCCTGATCTCCATCTCCCAAAGCAGTTATTATACTCTCAACTCAAGAATGGAAAATGGAGTGCTGGTGGACAGGAAAAGAGATTTAAAGATGGACTTAAAGTTAACTTAAAAACTGTGCCATAGACATCGAGACCTAGGAAGCTCTGGCCCTCGAGCGTTCTAACTGGAGGTCAGTTGTTAACAACAGTGCCATGGAATTTCAACGAGGCATTAATTGGAGGGAGAAACATGTCAAGAGGAAGGCACATCAAGTCAACCCTTGTCTGAACTGCATTCCATCTGGAAATCCTCATTGTCCTCATTATGAAAGAACATGCAGGTCCAGAATAGACCTCTACAGCCACCTATGGACCCACTGTCAAAATCTTACACTTGAAAGGGAATCACACTTGGCCATGAGGGATCACAGATGACGATAACAGTTATCATTATATCCATTATTTTATTTACACTTCATCGATCAATTTCTCCTTCTTGTGTCCCAAAACTATGTCCTGCATGGCTTTAGCAGGTTCATTATTTAAAATTCATATATAAATAAGCAAGGAATGGAAAGGGTAGAGTGGAGGAGAAGGAGGATAAAGAAAATCTGTCATAGGTACCACGTAGTCACGTTTAAATAAGGAAGGAGAAAACCACTGAAATTGGAGAGGCAAAGTTGTGTCCAGAAATGGAATAGCTCTGGGTTTCCTCAGAAGGCGGAGGTGGTAGCATAAACATGTGTTAAGGAAAATATGGTGGCAGCTTTTTTCAAGGGGACATTCAGAAATTATTTGCATTGCAGATATTTCCATATGGAAAGGTACATCAGATTTTCCAAACATATTGAATATTCTTGGAATCCACTTGGTTGAATATGATTTATTTTGTTGTCATTAGATTTTGATATAACTACTGGAAAACAAAATTTAGGATGAATCGTTTCTGCCCACATGTAAGCTGCAATCTCTGGACGTTTCTTTCTCCTTGATAAAATGATGCACAAGCAATATGTAATCTTGTTTTGTAATGCATATTTATTTTGAAAACAGCTGTCTCTTATCTTGAAATTTTATGAAAACAATGAATAAATGAAAACAATTTTATGAAAGGCAATAAAAACAATAAATACATTGCCAGTGAAAATGTCTTATGGTAGATGCACTGCAGCATGTTAGTTATGACATTCAAGATCCTATTCTCTCTAGTAATTATCATAAAACATATATTGCATAACAAAACTCAAGGGGAAAGCAGTGCCATCAAGATGTATGCTACCTCAGTAGGTAGCAATCTGCTTCATCTGAAAGAGAAATAAATGCCCACCCACCCACTCCAACAAGAACACAATGTAGTCCAGAAACCCATATGCACAGTGAGATTCTCCAATACAGTTTCTGTCTCACAAACATAAAAAGGAAAAAAGTTGCATAAATCTCTGTGTAGAATACTCCTATGTATTTTACACCATGTCAGAAATGTGAATTCTTGCTTCTCACATATAAGAACGACAAATCATATTTTTTTCTCATTGCCTGTGATAGGGCAAGATAGTTTCTCCCCTTTTTCAGCGAATGTCTCAGGTATGCTGCTGTGTAGTATACAAAAGGTGTTGTCAGGTATGCATCTCAGCTGGGCCTATTAAACCAGTTCCAACTATTCAGTACGCAAACACAATATATTTCTATGCCACCCGCTCTGATCTCGAGATAGATGTGAAACAGCAAGATGTAGAGTTTAAAGTTCTCGACTAGGACTGGGGAAAGCAAGTTTCAAATCTATGCTCACTCATTGAGCTCGAAGTGGTTGTTGAACCAATCAGCCTATGACATCTCGCAGAGCTGAGAATAACATTAAGCAATAAAGCATAAATATCACCTTTGCTCCATGGCTAAATGGCAGAATATAGCTAAGATGAATTCAGTAATTTCTCACTATAAAGTAGATATTAGGCAGGCTTATTTCTCTCTATCCCATAATAATTCTATGGCTTCTTTAGATCTTCAATTATCTTCCCTGATGTTCAGTGGTCCTCTTTTCAGCCTTATGTGTGTATAGAATAAATACATACCAGCAGCTAGATTATCATTAATTCAAGAGTAAAATTGTTGTTTCAAAAATATATAAAATATGCAAACTCACAAAGCCAGGTAAGAAAATATTATTATAAAATACCTATAATTCTTGTTTTTAATTATATGGAAATTTAAATAGTCAAGCTCTGAAATCATGCTTCCAATGAACTCATTTAAATATCATGTAGCCAGAACTCCAAAAACAAACAGTAAAATGTATAATTTTATAGGGTTTATAAATTGATTTTAGTCATTTTTGTATCAGACATAATTCACTATGGATGACAGCATGCTTATTTAATCAGATAGCTAATGTACCCCTGAAGAATAAAGGCTACCTTCATATATCACTTTGCCATAGAGCAACTAGAGAAAGCAAAAAACATTTTGTCAAATTCAGGAAATAAGACAACTATTAAGAATTATTTAAGGCATCATAAAACACTAAGAAACTGTAAAACTGACAATAAGAGGAGAGATTAATCCTCTTTTTGAATACCTCCCCAATGAATATCACTGCAGCTTATCAAAATATGTATGTCCACATAACCAGAGCTGCATTTTAAAATGCCAAGAGGGCAAGTGAGACATTAATAAATGACCACCTTAAGGAATCAAAGGCTTCTGCAAATTAACATGTCAGAAATACGTCAGCTAAAATGCTTAGGGTTTTTAGAGGCTTCAGGAAATTGTGTTTAGCTTTGTATTACCATCTGAAATATTCATACGCAACATCTCGTAATGGCTGGAGAAGAAAGAAATGCACTCACTGCGATTTATGTGAATTAAGCAATCACTTTATTCTGAAACTGATGAATTGAAGTAAGGTGATTATTACTACTGTTACCAGTAATAGTAATTTTCCACTAAGTGAATAGGATCACAGTACAATCCCTGTATCTGTGAGGGATATGTTCCAGGACTCCATACAAATACATGAATGAAATAATGTTTTGTGCTGAGACCAAATATAGAGCATTTGTTATTCCCCTCACTCACCTATTGCTCTGTGGAGGAGAGATAAGCTGAAGCAAAAGTTGTGGCATAGACTACCTGCACTGAGTTCTTGAAAGCAGTCCCAATCCTGAGTACAAAACCTGGTGGCAAGCCTAGCTCTCCTACTTCTCCCCGCCAATGAAACAGTCCTTCTGCTTCTTGACTAGAAGCAATAGCAGCTCTTCCCCCCCACCCCCCATTCCAGCAAAATGCAGTTCTTTTGCTTCTTTTACCAAGAGAAGCAGTGGGGCCTCCCACCAGATTTGGCAACCAGAAAAGGGGCTGTTTTCTAGAGCTCAGAGCAGGCAATCTGGTCCTCTGCTACCCACACTTTTCTCTGTGGAGCCTACAGCACCTGGACTCTGTGGGAGCTGGCAGTGGATGAGCAGAGGGTGAGCAAACGGCAAGGAGACAACCCTGCCGCTATGATTGCAGGTAAGTGAAACTGCTGACACTAGTCCTGTAGATATGAGGATCATCTTGTACTTCCAAATGTATATTTCTCTTCTATTCAAATAGGCTATTTTCTCTTTGAAAATCCAGGGATATAAATTGCCACATATTTAATTCCTATGTGCAAGTATTAACATTTTAGAATATTTCAGCAAAATTTCTGAGTAATGTTCATTCTTTGATATTGTGTGGTTTTTGGATTGTATGGCAAGCCTGATTTGCAAGTGTTTGAGTGGTATCCATCCATTAGCATGTAGGTAACTGAGAAAATTGCAGAGTCAATAATGAGGGCATCTGCCTAGAAGTAGCTAGGCCTTTGTTCCTTTGGAGTGTTTATTGTATAGAGGCATCCTTTGCTGGGTGGTGTTCACTGGTCCTTGATTACTTGCTGCCTGGGGGCTTTCTTTGTCTGGGTGTTGTTCATTAGTTACTGTCTAATTCTGGTGTTCCTCAATACTGGTAGCCAATTTTTGTTCATTTTCATGATTTATCCCTTTCTGCTGAAATTGTCCATGTACTTATGGATTTCAATGGCTTCTTGTGTAGTCTGACAAAGTGGTTGTCAGAGTGATCCAGAATATCTGCGTTTTCAAATAATGTTCTGTGTCCAGATTGGTTTATCATGTGTTCTGCTATTGCTGATTATTCTGGTTGAAGTAGTCAGCACTGCCGTTCATGTTCTTTGAATCGTGTATGAGCAATACGTTTAGTGGCCTCTATGTAGATGTGTTCAAAGCTACACTGTATGTGATAGACTCCTGCAGTGGTTAGAGGATCCCTCTTATCCTTTGCCAACCATAGTATTTTCTTAGTGGGTCTGTACAGTTTGTAGACTGTGTTTCTTCATCAGTTTCCCTATGCAGTCAATGGTTCCCTTGATGGGTGGTAAAAACACCTTCCCTCTAGGTGGCTCTTTATTCCTGTGGCTTGTTCCAAGTCTTGCAGCTCTTCTGATGTCTGCAGAAGAGTGACCATTAACCTGTATTTTGCTTCAAACCAATTTGTTCCACAAATTCTTTTCCCTACCAAGTCCCAGAATGTGAAGATAGTTGTGATTGACCTCCTTTTCCTCATCAGGACATTACTGGTTTCAAGGCATAGATTTTTAATTGGGGGGAAATATTGATGAGTATTCTTCACTTTCTTTTATTTATTACATTGTAATATTTTTCAGTTACTAACCTGACCAAGAACGTACATGGAGGTATCTGGTATCAATGTTAATAGTATCAACAGCATATTGATTTCAAAAGTCTAGCAGCACCAGGTTTCAAAGTTATACTATGAAGGAAGTAATTATTCTATCCCATACATGGGAACAAAGTTTGTTTTCCATCAATATACTGATTCAATTGCAACTCATGCCAAACATGATACATATTTTTCTAATGTAAAGATAATTGTCAATTTAGGAAATAATTTCCTGACGGTCTATTTAACAAAACAATACAAATCAAGCCCTAGGGAACTTACCAGTGCACTGCCCTCCATTTGTTGGATCTCCATAATATCCTGGCATACATGTTTCACACTGTTTTCCTGTGGTTAGGTTTTTGCATTGATCGCAAACATTGCCATTAACACAGGTACTATGACCATTGCACTGGCAAGCTGTAATAAAAAAAGAGAAAAATCAGAGGTGGGAGTCCCTAAAGGATAGTAATTCACATAAAGCTGAAGATTGTGATTAGTACTTCACCATCACGTAAGGTTAAAGGGGTGAGTGTAAGTTGAGTTGAGAACTATAAATAATATATCTTGTGTATTTCATTGACTTTGTGCAATTAAGTTCATTCAGTGAAGAACTGCATTTTTCTACCTGCTCTATATGAGCAGAGGGGCAAATCTGTATGCACCCTAAAGGTGCACTGGGGATATGTGTGGCAGGGATAAGGGAGGTGGGGGCATTGGTTGGATAGTAGTCTAATGCCAGTAAGTTGAGCTAAGATAAAGCATTCCCTGTAGTTTAGTATTTCTACTAGGGATGGAAAGAGAATTCAGAATTCTTCATTTTCCAAATGAGAAAAATATTTGAATGGTGATACTTTTGCAAATGTGTGCTGCATATCTCCCAAAGTACCATTGTTGTGGGTAAGTCTGATCTATTATACATCCCAACAAAAAACATGGTATGTTGTTTTTTAGGTCTGTTCCTGGGGTTATTTGGAGCAATGATTCAAAAAATGGACTGGACAGACTACATCAGCTCAAGTACCTTAGACATGGGGTGTTGCATGACTGGAAAGTTTGCATCGTAAATCTGTGCTTTTGGTATGGAAGTAGATTTTCATGTAGGACATTTTTCTATTAATTTTTAATATTTCCTTCATGCTTAAAACATATTAATTAAAACACTACATTAAAATATCCCGATTTTTATTGAGCAAGCATCTGTTCTGTATCTCTAAAACTAAAGCTGATAAGGAAAAACTGATGCCATTTTTGGAACCAGCAAGTCAAATATACCCATTAAAAGTTTTAGCATGTGAGGCACAAAATCTGTGTTGCCATTGGTCTCTGTTTGAAAATCTTAAACAGCAAGAAGACTGCCTAAGAACATATAAGGTACGTCGCATCTAATGACTCCCCTGGGCTCCCAAAGTAATAAACAGTTTGCTGGCCATCACAAAATCAGAAGTCTTCTATTGTAGCTCCTGCTGGAAACGGTGGTGAAGAATCCCCACAGCACTTTTAATGTAATTTGTAGCTATTGCTGTGTACCAAATGCTCAGGGGTTTGTCTGTTGTACATACTGCTAATAATGGTTCCTATCATTCACACCAAATATTTATTTAATGAATCCTCACAGAACACTTCAGGTGTTTCAAATACAGGGACAGATCGTAGGGAAAATATTTCCACATTAGCCCTAGTATGTGAGAGTCAGGTATTTGTATTCCTTCCTTGATATACATTTCAGAATCCTTCTGGTATTTCAGAATGTAAAACAGATGAACACCTAATATTGCTCCAGTTATCTCAAAAGAACTCCCTACAGAAGAATTAACAGGTACTCAAATTAATATCCAAATGTAAGACTATCATAGCAGCAGTAAATGCACAGCAGCAATGCCAGAGCATTTCCAGAAAGCAGAAACAAGATTATTTATATACAACTTCCAGATGCTTAGATGCAGTTGAAAATAAATGGCCCAAACCAGACCTACTGACTACTACCAATCATTTTGCGTGCTGAGCCCAAAAAATAATGTGAACACAAGTTTATTCCTTAATTATCAGAAATGCATAATAAAAATAGTGTTTACCTTTTTAACAATTTGAGACCCATTCCAAATTATGTTTGCAACGAGCATCTACAATGCAGAATTAATGCAGTTTGACATCACTTCAATCGTCATGGCTCAATGCTACAGAATCTTATCAACTTTCTTTTAATATACTGGTCATTTTCTCATTTCATGTTGAATTGGGTACCAACATAAGAGAATCTTAATGAATGAAAAACTACACCCAGAATCCAGAGTATTGAGAAATGATTTTTCACTTCATTGCACGCTTCACTTATTAAATTATGCTTCAGTGAGTGTACAATAATTGGAGGTTAGCAAGATATTAGTCTCATCAGTTTCATATGAGGAATTGAGCAGATCTTACATTCTTTTCTTCATCACAGAGCACTCCTAAATTGTTTTGGATCTGCATACACCATTTCTCTTTTCCTGAAATGCTTCTTGCAAAACTAATTAACTGTAAATTGTTGTGTAATATAATAAAACTAATACAAGGAGTCCCCAGTTACAAACATCCGATTTACAAATGGCACATAGGTGACAGAACAAAAAGTGAGAGAAATCTATCCTTCGGATGGGAAATTCACTCCTAAAAGAGTTATTATCATGAGAAAAAGGTGTCTAAACTGGAACCCAAACACCATTGTTTTCACAAAGCAATTTTTTCAAAATCCAATAGTCACAGGGACAGAGAGTGAGGTGAAATCTTCTGGACTGGGGTACAGTCAGCAAAACGGACACCACGGGGGTGTTAAAGCTATCTACGAGATCTATATGTTTGGAGTTACACTTTAAAATGTACCTGTTCCGATTTACAAAAAAAATCAAGTTAAAAACAAATTTACAGAATCTATCTTGTTTGTAACTTGGGGATTGCCTGTAATGGGGACACTGAGCTTACTTGCTTTGATATTCACTTAGTATTTGTTTCATGTAAAATCTCTATAGAACTGCACAGATAAATTCACTACTCAAGACTACATATCCATCTTCCAACATGTTATGAGAAAAATTCCTGAGGATCTTTGAATCTCCCTCCCTAAAGAAGAGAGTTAAGAAGACATAAAATGTTTTGGATAAATTCCACTCTATTACGCTTTTCATTTCACATCTCTTTGTTGCTCCACCTAATCTTGATCCTCAGAATCTTTAAAAGTTTGTTGTTGAATACTGATGCTATGATGAAGGACCATAGAAGATTATAATACTAGAGTTAAGTTTTCGTTTACCTAGCACATGCTTGAGAAATCATAGGTAACACTGCACTGCTACCATTTTGAGTTACATCTGGCAAAATATCTAAAATATATTAAACAATAGTACAAAATGTATATCTTAAGTGTCAGAATATCCCTGTGAGAAGAATTCTGGATTTATTAGAATCTCTCAATTCAGGATTCATTCTGTACACATTTCACACGTGGTATTTTTGAGCAGCAAACACATTTTCAGCAAAGGAGCTAGCATACTTGCACACAATAATATTGCCACACAGAAATATTTTATATGGGGAAAATATCTGTTTACTGTGTAGAAAGGTATTTCTTTAAAAATATATAATTGAATTTTACTCATATTAAGTCCACAACTACAGCATTTTCTGCATGTAAATAATGACCAAAATTCACTAAGAGTTACACATGCGTAGTTGGTTCATATTCACGATCCTCGGGTATTCACTAGTTTACAGAATGTATTGGGACTCCGAAAATCCCCTATTGCTCACACACAGGGCAGCAACTACTGCAAGTGGTAGTGATCTGTTCTCTTATCAATCAGAAAGCTGACTGGTGTCCGTCAGCCATCCTCCCGTTACACTAATCACTTGAGAAACCAGTGAAATAACCAATTGTGACAGGGATCCTGCTTCTCACTGTTGCACTAGAGATCACTCATGAAAGCAGGTGGTCAACAGGGAAACAGCTGCTGCTCAATAAATAAGGATCGAAACGTGGGGCTAGGAGATTATAATTGTAACTAAGATGGTTACAATTTCTCTGTAGAAATAAAAGCTATGATTTTGTATCATTTACTTGATGATACAAAATCATAGCTTTTATTTCTACAGAGAAATTGGTCTTTTGGTGTTGGAAAATGCTGTTTTCTGTGAGAAAATACTACTACTTACAAAAAATACCATGGGCAAATTTTACAGAAAACAAAGTCTAAACAGTTAATAGTCTTCAAAAATGGCACAGATTTTGAAAAAGGGAGAAAATTGAAAAAAAAAAGGTCATTGTTTCTTTTTGAGAGTAAACTTAATGCACAATGATATCCTAATTCTGAATATGTATCAGGAATTGCATGAAGCTACTGTTAACATTCCTATCTCTTCCTCTTCTTCTAAATTATCAAAAACATGACTACTTCTCATGGGACCAAAACTGCTCTGGCACAGCTGCTTCAATGTGAACAAAGCCTCCCGATCGCAACGTCTTATCAAGGGAAATCTTGGATGACGGGACTGTGCTTCAGGTAATTCTGCCCTGGCAGCCAAAACCCAGCCCTACTCTGTTCAAAGGTGATGATGAAAGCCCCCACCAAACAGGTCTTTGGAGAAATTGAGTGAAAATGCTTGCAGCTGCTAGTGACTTTAAAGAGAATTTTTGTTCTCATTGTAAAGACTAGCAACTCTAATTGGATTTTATTGCGTGTATTTTATATTCTGTATATCTCGCTTGTAGCTTGGATAATTTATATTTATAATTCTAAAAAAAACAAAATTAAGATAGGTATACTGCTCATAATACTGTTAAGTGTACTGATATTTGCTTACGGGAATTTACTGGTATAGATAATGAAATGAAATAAAATTTAAAACTCCAATTATTTTAAATCACTTGAGAGGTCTGGAAAAGTGGTGTTTCTAACTGCATCGTGAAGTTCCAAAAGCAACGTTGAAGCTTATTACTGCATTTACTTGAGTTGAATGCTCGCCTTTTTTTTTTTTTGGTGAAATGACCTTGCCAAAATTGGGGTGTGCATTAGATTTGCATAATACAATAATCTTACTGCTGAGCCAAAACAAAAAAGGTCCTTCAGGACCTACATCTGGAGCTCCTATTTGAGGGACCTCATCTCTAATTTAATGGCCATGGCTCAATCTATGCAATCTTAGGATTTGTAGTTTGGTGAGACACCAGCATTCTTTGGCAGAAAAGACTCAAGACTTTGCAGAACTATAACTGACATGATTCCATAACATTGAGTCAAGGTAACTAAAGTGGATTCATTCTACAGCATAGATGCACACCAAGTTTTTCGTTTCTACTGCTGGAAGCTTTGGTGTTATAACACTGTTGTTTTTAAAGAAGGGATTGTAAGCAGGCAGCAACTATAATGTACATCTTTTTTGGCCAAACTACAAAGAGCACACTTTTTGCCACTGCGCATTACATTTGACAGAAAATACATTTTTGTTTTGGGACTTTGAAATTTGAGGTGCACATTAGATTAGATGTCACATTAGACTCAAGGAAATGCAGGTAATTTGTCGATGGAGTACTATTTATTGTGTCTGGCACAGTTGCTCATGGTATACCGATCATGTGTTAGAAACAAATGATAATGGTAGAATAAGTCTAAATGGCTTCACATAAATCCCTTCCAGTTTAACCGCAGATGGAAAAAAGTTTAAGTGCTTTGGCCATCTGCCTTTTATTTTTACTAGCTGCCTGTTACTTCCCTCTGTTTCCCTTTGTTTTATTCTACAGAAACCTGTAAAACGGTAAAGTGGCATAAGGGAGATAAAATTCTAATCAGTTACAGTATTTTACCCATCACTTTATCTTTGGTTATATCAATAAAATATCTAGATTTCTGGAACATTTTTGACCCACCACTGCTATCCTGAGTCAGCAGAGTTCCTTGCAGAAATATTGTGTTAGGTTTCAGTCACAATCTATTAAATATTTACAATTGTTCACAAGCAGTCTGTTTTAAAGTGAACTTTGCAGACCAAAATTATTATTCCTATTTTTATGCAATCATTTATCATTTGTGGTAAAACAAAATGGAGAAACCACAGATATATTCCTGTATTTCACCTAAATGTAATTGGTCTGTGCCCTCTTGAGCCTCATTTAATATCTTTATAGAGTATTACAAATACTCAGTCCCAGTCTAAATATGGAACATGATGGAGTTAGGATTAAACATGGGACCAGGGGTCTCAGAACAAAAGAGAAATGTGAGTGAGTTTTGCAGAAAACCAACATATTTAGCAAAGTTTTGAAAATGTATAACAAAGCAGCTAACAAAACCATGCTGCATGGCACAAGTGTATACTTGCAGTAAAGTCACTAACCATTCCAGAGTTTTATTGGAATTATACAACCAACATAGATTCAGCAGTTAAGAGCTCCTACCTGGGCACTGGATGAAAGACCATTCAAAATTTTTCTCTTTGGGACAGAGATTGTTGTCAAGAACCATTTCAGTAGAATGCAATCCACTCAGCTTCACTGGTCCTCTTGAAGACCCTTCCACACAATGGCCTTTGCCTGTGTTACTGGGATCATTGCACCATCCACAACCAGGGTGTTCCAAACACTGTGCACAAGTCCTTAACCCAGAGCAGTTTTGAGCTGTAACACAGAGATAATAAGCCACATCTTTTAAAAAAAACTTAGTATCTATGAGACTTCTCTAGTACAGATAAAGATATGAGGGCTTAAATACACCATACATTGCTTTCATATAAACAAGAAAAAATGTGAATTATTCTTGCAGGCATTTAAATAAAGTACAATTTGTCCAACAATGTTTTGATCATTCCCTCTGTGCTGTCGTGCGCTGGGCTCCTATAAAAGACTATAAACAGGACTTAATTTCTGTGAGCCCAACGGAATGCCAGGGTTGCCTCAGAGAGAGGTTTTTTGGGATTTTCCTGAAAAGATGGGCTTCAAAGTCTTTAAAGATGCAACAAAATCTTTATTACTGAACAAATAACAAGGCTTCAATGATTGGACTCAAAGTTTTCTTAATAAACTGTTGGCTTTCATGATCTTGCCCCAAGGGCAGGCAACTGTTCCTTACTGTTGGGAAAATCCCTGACCTCTACCCTGGGCAATCTGTCTTCTCTTCTGTTGGCGTGGGGCCCCTACACCCGGTCCAATCTGCTTTATGGTTGCTGCACAGGGCCCTTACCGAACAGAGACCTTTGCAGAACTTCCAGGAGGAGAAAGATGTTCACTTGGCTGGCTGAAGCGCTGTGGGACTGGATCCCTAGCAAGAGAGCTATGAGGCTGTAAGTTCCTCAGCAAACTATAAAGTCTCCAGCAAAGGCTGCGCTGAGACTGTATATCCCTGGCCAAGCTATGGGGCTATTTCTTCCCGGCCAAGCTGTAAATGATGAAGCCTTTTACAGGAGGTCCTGGTTTAAGTCCTGTAAGAAAGACTTCTCTGTGTGGACTGACCTAAAATGGATCCTATTCCCTCCAAAACCCAAAAAGGGGGCAGAACTAGGGAACCTAATGATAATTGACAGGTCATTGACCCAATAACTGCAAAGTAAGGAAAGCCATCTAACTGCAAATGCATAGAACTTTGAAAAACATGCAACACTCAACAAATAGCAAGATAAGCTGGAGCTCCTGGTACAGCTGTACCAGAACACCCTCTGAAATATCAAATGGGCATAATCTGAATATGCTAGACATCTATATCCTTTTATAAGCAGAATAAAAAATATTAAACAAAATGACCAACAAACATAAAAAAACCACAACAATAAAACAGAACAGATTAATTAAAATGAATGCTATAAGGGGTATAAAAAGCAAAATAATGTTGCATGAACATGTCTTTGGAGGCTACTCTGGAACTAGACAAATTTTGTTTATAGGTAGAAATGTGAAAGCCTGGGAAAACATTTAAATCTATTTCCCCCAAAATTTCCTTCTCCTAAAAATCCTGATAGTAGAACATTTTGCCATCATTGCCAAAATGATAGGAGTATGTCTTTCTATTCACCAGGCCTTCCAATCACATTTCTACAGAACATCTTTTCGAGAACGTCAGACAGTGACTACTTAAGAATCAGATTGATATAAAATGGACTGAGCTTGAAATTTTGAATCTAACCACAATGATTGTTTATTCCAGGAATGTTCTTTCAGTTTCTGTCAAATGTGGCATATCTCTACTATGTGACCTGTTGTCTTTTTTAAAAATATCTAGAGAGTGATTCCCACATTATTTCCTTACAACATAGTGGTTTCTGTTAATTGTGGTGGTGTGTGTTTATTTTGTTTTTTAACTAGACCAGCACTTCTGGTTAGCCTTTGGGATCTTGTTAGACTCTTCAGCGTTCATGCTGCAGAACAATGCCAGAAACGTCTATGTGCTCAAAGGCACTCCAAATCAGAATTCCTACAATAAATTTAAGTTTGTTTACCTGTCAAATCCCATGATTTTCAAGTTCACATCATTATTTTATGCAGCAATCCTATGTGCAAAAATACCCTACTTCTGAATGCATGTTTACAGCATTGCACTATAGCAACAGGCATCATTGTGAACATATGCAATTGAGTTAAAATTCTCAAAATTCTTCAGTCAAAAGCATGTTTACTCAACAGTAAATGTGACTGTCTATTCATGCCACATAAGATTGCATGGAACATAGAGGTCTACTATGTCACAGTAGTATTTGATACAGCATTGTAGGATTTTTCACATATGGCTATTCACACTATTTCAAGGTAAACAGTAATTGAAAGATCATAACCAGTCTTCACTTATGAGATATTGTGCTGAATCCTTTCATCCAACTGTCAGTAAACAGAAGCTCTAGAAAATTTGACAGCCTCTGGCAAAAACAAATAACAATAAACTACAGTAACATCCTGGTAAGCGAGGATGTCCTGGATGAGCAGAATACTATGCCAAAGGGTATGCTAGATTATGAGAGGCTGAAGCAAGAACGGAATGTATTTGGCTCTTAAAGCTTCTTCTATCTCCATTAAGGGCAGCAACTCTTCATGACACAAGGAAGGAGAAATTAGAGTTGAAGCATTGGGGAAGACTACTGAATTTCCTATATGTAGAGAATGTGTGGAATGTGACACAAACCACCGCTTCCTTCTTATACACAGTGTAACTAAATGTTTCAATGCAGGGTGTTTAGTCCATATGCTTTAATATGATTTGATTTCAGAGGTATATAATAACTGGATTATTATCCTAGCAAACAAGACTAGTAGTGTTTCCTCCCTGATTCCCTTCTACTCACTGATGGATCAAAAGTTTAAGAGAAACTGGAATACTGAAAATTACACTATGAAGAAAATGTGTAAATGTATTTTTTGGGATAGATCAGGTAGAACAATGGATAGAATTGCCTTTTAGTGGCTACTAAGGTTGCTAGTCCACAGGGCTTGGCCCTGAATCTGCAATATTTGTGCACCATCTCCAAGTGGAAGATAAAAGTATAAACTCTCCCATTTTTGTGGGTTCAGCTCCAGGCAAGAAAAAAAGAGTTGTGTGCAAATTCTCAGCTAAACTAGCAGAATAACCACTTGCTACAGTTGAAAACATGCAAATGTGAGTAGATCAATGGGTACCGCTTCAGTGGGAAGGTAACGGTGCTCCTTGCAGTCATACCGGCCACATGACCTAGGAGGTATCTACGGACAACGCCGGCTCTTCAGCTTAGAAATGGAGATGAGCACCACACCCGAGTCGGACACGACTGGACTTAATTTTAGGGAAAAACCTTTACCTTTACCTACAGTCTGGAACTCTTCATTGATTAGTTGCAGTAACTTGCAAAGATTCTCCAAGGAGTCTACGTATTTTATTTTCTTAACTTCTCCCTTTCCCTCTCAAGCAAAGACACACCAAGGCTCACTCTCTGCTCTGTTATACATTCAGCTTCTGACTATATGAAAGTAGGCTAAAGGTTCTTAATTTCATCTCTCTCAGTAAATAAGGAGCAATGCCCACGTTTCACCTTAATTTGGAAATCGCCCCTTCACTCATATTTATCAGTGGAAAAAAGCCACCTGCAATATGTGACCTGCAGTCTATTTATATTTATCTTATAGATTGTGTAAGCGTGGTTGAGGAAGAAGTCTAAAACAAGTTTATCTGAATACATATATTTAAAATTTGTCTTTATTTTTACTGTGCCAAAATAAGAAGGGGGTGCCTTAAGAAATTCTCATATATTCTTAAAATTTGTTGTGGAATTATTTTCTCCCTTAAGCTATATATACCATAGCTAGGTGCCATATCACCTAGTAGCCCAGCACAATGACTAGGCTAGATGAATGTTCCTCATGTCATCTGGTGCAGATGACTGGATGCTACCTGGTGCAAATGACCAGAATCCCACCACCGCTACCACTACCACCTGTGCCAGAAGAGTATAATGTTTGAAGCAGTTAGCTACAATTGCTTCTTGCTTCCTGGAGTCTATCCATAGCTTGGTAGCTGACGGTTCACAGACCTGCACAACTCCATATGAGTAAAACCAACCATATGAGTCTCCAGAAGGGAGTTGTTGCCAAAAGAAAGTGGCCTCCCAGAATTTTTCGAACTAGTTATAAAAACATCTAGAATCTCTAGTGACAAATACTGTTCTCGTTACTGCCTCTAATGTAACATTCTTTAGAGAAGACAGTTCAGACAGGAAAGTATCTTCCTCAAGGAGTGATTTCCCACCCATCTTGCTTCTTCGTAGCTTTCTTGCCTTGGGGGTTTAAGGATGGCTTTGCTCTTTCCTGGATGATGACAGGGGCCATATGTTCTTGAAGTGTGAGTTGTCTAAAATGAATTGTAGTTATAACTTATTCTCTTTGAGAGATTACAATGGGGTTTCAGTGAGAGAGGGAAACATGGAGTTTTCTTTTAGGATATGTTGGTAGTATTTGTATATATTACATTATATTACCATTTTATTTCCATACAGACCAACAGCAATTGTTACATGTTCCTGATTTGCATTTTATTGTTTCATCTCTTAATATAAAGGCTTAGTACTCATCCACCAATAACATTAATTAGTTTATCGGGATTTCGGTAACTTTATATGAATATAGGTTTGCTTATTTTATTTTTATGCTTATTTTATTTTTATGACATTTTATTTTTATTTGTTTTTGTTGAATTACTATTTTGCCTTTCTAGCAAAATGAGATTCAAGACAACCTATAATAATTTTTAAAAATGTAATTAAAACATTAATTTTAATAAGTATAAATGGAATTTAATATCACTATTATTAAACATATAATTAAAGACTGTTAAAACTCTTAGAATATATTCAAAGCATCATTTCAGTGAAAGATTTAAAAGATTAAATCACACACGACTTACACACACACACACTACTGCTTCATAACAGAAAATCAAAAGGCTGCCTAAATAAAAATGTCTTCATATGCCAGCGAAAAGTAAGTAGGGAGGGAGTCAAGAGGGCTCTTATGGAAAGGTGTTCCACAGTCTGGCAAGAGCAAAGAGAAAGCTCTCTCCAAAGTCCTCATCAACCATGTTTGTTAAGATAGTGGCACTGAGAAAAAGCTCTCCCACAAAGTTCTTAATGCTCATGCTGGCTTATATAAGAAGATGTAGTCTTTCACATAGTCTGAACCCAAGCCACTTAGGCTTTTTTGAATACTTCCCAGAAATAGCCAGACTCGGTCAACTGTCTGGCTGAAGTTTCTGAACAGTTTCCAAAGGCAAACCCATTTAGGGTATATTATAATAATTTAAACAGGATGTAATCAAAGCCTGCTGTAAGAGAAAGGTATGTCCCAAAAAATCTAATTGTCTTTCATAAGTAACATGATGTTACTTCGGTCTGAACCAGCTGAACTTAATCTACAAATGTACTACTAATGAAATCTTCAATGGCAATATGTGTGTGTGTGTTATACATTTCATATGTTATGGCAATGTTATATTGTCATATATTATCAACTTATGTGTTCTTATCAGTTAAAGTACTGTAATTTAAACCGGTGCCATTTTCTCATAAACTATCTTTGAGCATGGTATACTAATGGGAAACTGTGGTATATATTAAACAGTCTATTCCTATTTAATATATGAGGCTATACAAAGGCGGTTGCAGCGACATTTGCTTTTTTGAAGTCTTCTATTTCAGTGTTTCCATTTGTGATTACAGATTCTTTCTGGGTTACCTTGCATCAGCTTGTTTTATAGAAATGATTTCATTATACTGAGAAGCACAGTACAGGGTTCTTTTGAAGACAGGTCTTAAGATTTCTTATTCAAATGCACATTCAAAGAACAATTTGCCATTTCAGTCAGAGAAACATTACTGTTGTTGAACCTAGATTTATCTTGCCATTACCGATGTTAAGAGACCATAACGCCCTCAGAACAGCAGAGATACTAAACCACTGTTAAGAAACAAGATACTATAGAATGGTAATATCCTGTCCTGCTATTAAATGTATGCATTTAAAAATTACTGGTGCTGTAGAGTTAAAATTCACTCCTTGAAAAGAAGAACTATGGCATTAACTACATACTTCTTGGCACTCATCCATTTTTTCCATTATACTGAACTGCTCTTTGGAATACTAATATATCTGATGAATGAGAATATTACTGAATATAGAATTCTGCTAGAATAAATTATGAAATCTAATCTGTGATAGTATTTTGTATAGATAAAATCATACTTTTGAAAAAAATTACATTAAATATATTATGGAAAACAATAAAAATTTAAATTAACAGTTAAGTATTACTAAGATCATTTATTTTCTTTGGATGTCTGATGAACTGGAGGATATCTTCATATGTATGTACCCAATGCTTTCTTTAATACTGAAGAGAGTGCATTCCTACAGTTATATGTTGAGAGAAATAAGGTTGAACATTGTGAAAACCATCCTCTGCATGGCTATCAGCCTCCTCCCAGTAGACTTAAATCAAGGAAAAGCTTCATGAGAACCACCACTCCTCTTAATGTTTTCCCAGTAACAGCAAGAGTATCTATTTGGGCAGTTAAACCAGGAAATCCCAAATAGATGGCCCCCATGAGGGTCTGCTTCCAGGGCAAACCAAGAATGAGCAACTTGAAAGTCCCAGAACAGACTTAGAAGTGGAGTGGGCGGAAAAATGGCAAAATGGCAGTACCTAGAAGACTCCTCCACCTTGTGAAACTTGTGGAGCAGAACAAACAACTCTACATATGTATGCTTGTCCAAAATACCCTGCCTCATGCACAGAGGAAGCATTGTTTAAAGCTACAGACAATGCAGTCGCTGTTGCCTATTTCTGGTCAAAATTATTTAACCACTTGTGTTACCTTTATTTTTATCAGTTTTATACTTATTTACCCAATGCTTTTGACACAAAATAAATATGTTGCACTGTATTGTATTAATGATTGTTTCATATGGTTGGCGTATGTTTGTGGTAGCAGTACTCCTGGTGAGAAAAAACAAAAACACATTCAATCCAGAAAGTATTTGGTTTGTCTTTACAATGAAGTTGATGTGTTGCATTTTCAGCTTTGACTGCAAACCATGACATATTAGTCCCAGAATTTGCAGTCTTTTGGGGTTGTGCTATAATTAATCTAACTGTAGTTAGAAGAAAGCCAGCTAGTTCTCTTGGTGTTAGCTTTAATTGGTGTGTATGTTTGGAAACTTTTAATATTAAAAAGATGCTCCATGAGGAATTACCAAAAAGAAATGTTTTATTAGTCAGAAGTGTCCATAAAAATAAGAAATGATAAAGAAAATGATGAAAATACAATAATTTTTTAGGGAGGGGGGAGAGAATTTGCAATTTCTCAGTTAAAACAAAATATATATTTATTTTAAATGGACTTAAAACAGTTTTAAAAGGTATTTATAAGATAATAACGATGATAAAATGACAAATACAACACACCACAACTAAAATACCACCTCCAACAGATCATTAACTTTCAAACTCCTGCCAATGGAAAAAGATTAGAGAGAGGGAGCCAACTTCCCACTGAAAGAAATTTCTCAGTCTGGGAGCAGTCACCAAAAGGCTCCCTCTCATGTCCTCACCGGACATGCCTGTGATGCTGGTGAAAGTGTGAAAAGGGGATCTCAAAAATCAGGCAGTCTCAAATGGGGACATTTGGTTTTCTGATAGTCTGCTCTCGATATATAGGGCTTTAGAGGTCATAACAAGTACTCTGAACTGTATCTGGAAACACATTGGGAGTCTGCTTTGGCAGGGAAGTTACATGCTTTTTGTAACCAGACTCAATCAGCAGTTTGGCAACAACATTTCAGAATTTTGAACAGTTTCCAAAAGCAGCTCCATGTAAACTGAGTTATAACAGTCTAAACAGGGTGTAATCAGTGTGCCCTCATGGCCAGATTTGCATCTCAGCAATGAGATGCTACTGTCAAACACATCTGGAGGGCATTTTGTCCTAGCCTGCATCATGGAATGTGCTATTATCATAAATAATAATAGAAAACTCACTCTCCAAGTATAGGCTCTTGCATACCCCAAATAGCCATTTCCATGCAGGCCAATGTAACAGCAACAAGCTCAATAAAATATCATCTCATCTGCAGAATCTTCCAAAACCAGCCTACAAAGCCAGCCATTCTCAAACTGGAACTCTCCAGCTGTTTTGGCCTCCAACTCCCTGAAGCCCTAGCCGGCTTTTTCAATGGTAAGGAATTCTGAGGATTGGGAACCCAAGTGACCACAGTTTAAAGATACCTGTACTATGACATACTAGTCATGGGACCTTAGCCAACTGGAGGGAGGGGGTCCAAAACCAAGGGATGGGAGAATGGAAAGGAGTATCTTCAAAAGGAGCATGACTAGCAGGCTGGCTCAGCGGCACCCTACCCCAGGTGTCACTTGTATGCCTCCAATTTCTCACCACATCCACACTTTTACTAACTGCTACAATTAACAATGTTAATTTAATTTAATTACTTACGAGAACAGGTGGTTGTCTGCCACTCTAGACACTGTCCATATGGAAAGGAGATTATGTAGGCGTTTGAGTCAACACATCGTTTTGTGCTACTACACCACATGCACTCCATGCCACTGCTTGTGCAGTTGGAACAGGTTGTCCTTAAAGAACATGGTTTCTTACATGGTCTGGCATTTTGATTTGGACTAACTGAAAAAAAGAGAACAATAACAAAAAAGGAGAAAATCAGTATACTTCCTAAATTGCTTTATAATATTTCGGCATGCATGTTTCAACAGAAAGAAGTTCTCTTTCCCAGATTCAAATATGCTTTCAGCTACACTGGCTCATTTTTCTGTCTTGTTTTTTAACAACACAGAATGATAGATAGTTTTTCCTACACAACAAATGTGAGATGTAAGCTAACCATTATTCTACTTTTATTCAGTTATTAGTATATGTGATATCCCAAGTCCAAAAGTCAATTCAGTTAAATGTAGAATCATTGTAAAACAACATGACTGAATATATTTTAATAGGTGTTGTAATCCGTGACCTTCTGGTTCTACGACATTTGTTAAACAGTGCATAAACAATAGTTATTTACTTCACTGGTGATATATTCTCCCTTAAACTGTGTGCATTTTGTCTATGGCTATGATTTGTCAAGTGAACATGTGCCCCCTGGCGTATATATTTGCAGTCAGTGCAAATGCAATGAGAAAACAAAAAAAAAAGAAGCAATACATAAAATCAGCATTTTTTTCACAGCAGAGTGCATTCTGTCTTCCTCAGTAGTGTGTGTTGTCCATAAAAGCAAAATATATCACCAGAACAACTATGAGGCAGATGTATATATGTTATTATTGGATAACATATAACTGTGAAGCAGGAGAACTGTCTAGTTTCCAGTTACATATAGCAAAGAGAAATGTATATAACACCAATGTATATATAACACCCTGCTTTTCAAAAGATGCTTCAATAATATGGCTTTCAGTAGTCTGCACTAGCCAAATGTGACATGTTGTTATTAGGCTTTATACATTGCATCCATTATTATTGAGAAAAAAAGTAATTCATAGAAGCCATGTTTTATGCCATCTATTTTGCAGTTTCCATGGAGAACTTCACATGACAGACATACAATATGAAAACGGTAAAGACAAATAAAAACCATGTTCCATTATTTCACACAAGAATATTTAACAAAATCTTCCTAAAACATTAATATTAACATTGGCAACACAGTGGGCTTACAGATTACATCTAGTTACATTTCAGCATTGAAAGGATTTATGGATGCACAAAAGTTCTTTTCAGCACTGTTTCGTATTATTTCTTCTTGCATGTTGATTTCAGTTTGATAATACAATGTATATAATAATTCTCTGCCACCACAATTCCATGTGTCAATCACATTATAATTCAAAACACAAACAATTTCTATAGATGGTGTCTTCCCACTTTGGCTTAGATATATGGAATTCAACTGTGCCTTTTCTTTCTTCTCAGATGAGAGGAGGTGATCCATTTCTCTTTGGTCATCTCCAATCTAAAGCTTTATATCAAATGACAGCTGAAAAACACAGGTCTTTCTATCAAGTTTCAAAAAGATCTTTAACAAAAGATTTTGCAAAAAAAAAACAAGTTTGATATTGGACCCTTTTTTTGCACACAGGTTTACTTCCACGGTCAGGAAACTTGCTGCAAAAAACAATCTTCAAAGGAGTGTTTGAAAGGATAATTCTTTTTTGTCAAAGAGAAGTAATGTCCACAGTTCACAAGCAGGTTAAATGAAGTGATAGGAAACACTGCCCTCTTCTTCAGTACTGTTCAAGAAACCCCAGTTAGAAACATCTGAGAGAAAACAGGCAATGGCCATGAGAAAAGAATCTCACTATAAGACTTTCCATTTGCTTTTGTTTTGTTTGTTTTTAATGAAGCATATAATTCTGCATCGAGATTGCAATAATATTTGGTCATTAAACATGATTTAAAAGCATCGCTGTAATGAAACATTTAACTTATACTGCATCTTCCAGTGTACCATTGCGTTTCTAGATGTGTTTCTGTGAGAATAAAGCTACTTTCTTCTAAGGAAGTTTTGCTGGGTTCTTTGGTGTCTTACTTTAATTCTTATTTTACTTCTTGCAATTGCTACACATTTTTCCAAACCAAAACAAACTATCCAATAAAAAATAAAATTGCCCTTATGTTCACAACCAACAACATCAACACTTTTAGTTTTCATAGCTAAGGATTATTCTGCCAGTTTTCCATTAGTTGTTTTGCTTTATCTTTCTAATATATACCAGTTGGCAAGATCTAATCCTATGACACAATGTTCACACAATCATTATGTAACCATATCAAGCTGTATAATTTTGACTTCATCAACAAAATCATGTGAGTCACCACAAGTAAACCGTGAAGGGACACCCAAGACGGGACGGTCATGACAGAGAGGTCAGACCAAACGTGATCCCTGTGGAAGATAATGGCAACCCACCCCAGTATTCTTGCCAAGAAAACTAAATGGACCAGTACAACATTACTCTGGGTAAAGGTGCTAGAAAGGAAAACAGCATAGAAATAAATAAATTTGCAAGAAACATTGAAAAATTGTTACAACTCTGAAGCACTTTTACCACTTTGATGGCTGAAAGTGATGAGGGGCTGAGGGGCCTTCTAATCAAGGTGAAAGAAGAAAGTGCAAAAGTTGGGTTGCCGTTAAACATAAAAAAAACCCCAAGATTCTGGCAACCGGACTGATTGATAACTGGCAAATAGAGGGAGAAAACGTGTAGACAGTGACAGATTTTGTATTTCTAGGTGCAAAGATTAGTGCAGATGCAAACGACAGCCAGGAAATCAGAAGACGTTTACTTCTTGGGAGGAGAGCAATGACCAATGCTGATAAAATAGTGAAGAGTAGAGACATCACACTGGCAACGAAGATCCACATATTAAAAGCAATGATATTCCCCATAGTAACCTATGGATGTGAGAGCTGGATCATAAGGAAGACTGAGTGAAGGAAGATAGATGCTTTTGAACTGTGGTGTTGGAGGAAAATACTGAGAGTGCCTTGGACCGCAAGAAGATCCAACCAGTCCATAATTCAGGAAATAAAGCCCACTGCTCATCGGAGGGAAGGATATTAGAGGCAAAGATGAAGCACTTTGGCCACAGCAAAGCTTAGAGAAGACAATTATGCTGGGGAAAATGAAAGGGAAAAGGAAGAGGGGCCGACCAAGGACAAGATGGATGGATGGTATCCTTGGTATCCTTGAAGTGACTGGCTTGACTCTGAAAGAGCTGGAGGTGGTGACGGCTGACAGGGGGCTCTGGTGTGGGCTGGTCCATGAGGTCACGAAGAGTCGGAAGTGACTTGAGAAACTGCAAGTGACTGAACAAATAAACAACAACAACAAAAGAGGCACTTTTGGCAGTCAGCAACAAAAAGAAATATAAAATGAGTTAGTTTCAATGCAGCTCTGCCTGCTGTACTTTACATGAAAGGAACATAAATATCGCACAGGGCTCCTCTCTTCATCTTAACAAAATAAATGGTGGAGTTTCACATGTATCCAAGCTCACACATATATAATAAGCCATTGGATTAAACTGTACAAGCCTCTGTTTTGCAATTGACTCCACTAATAAATTGAATGTAACACAAATTATTATTTTTCAAATTTTAAGAAAAAACATGTGCAGTTTTTGAAAAGAATATACTCCCCACTCAAATTACAAAAATTAAACACTGACATGTCCTATGAGGGGCGGTTTAAAGAGCTGGGGATGTTTAGCCCATAGAAGAGAAAGATGAGAAGACATGATAGTCATGTGGTCTCTTCCAACTATGATTCTGAGTTTACATCCTAATAATTTTTTTTATCTTAATCCAACTAGCACTTCCTAAAATTTCTCCAACAGCCATGCAATCAATTTTACCAATATTGAATAAATACAAGAAATATCTTTTAGAAGTAATATTTTCTACACAACAAGCCTTTCTTACCAACAGGTTTCTCACACACAAGACCATCAGCCACAGCTGTACATGGATTTGCTTTCAGACCTGCAACTTCAGCCCTTTCAAGATAGGCACAGAATCCAGAGTCATTTGGTTCTCCGGGAAGCCATTGCAACGTAGTGTTTGTAAAAGGAGACATATCATCCCATCCCCAATAAGAGATATTGATCTTACGCAAACCAACCCAGGGTGATATTTTCTGTAAAGAGAAAAGGGAGCATTTTAATCAATTGGATAAACAATGTTCACACAAACCATTATGTTAACTTATCAGTGATCTTTTCTTCACAATACTTTCCCCATATATTACATGTAATGCGTTAGTCATGATTTCTCAAACAATTTGTTCATAACTGCTGTTTTTAAGTGTGTGTATATAGTATATATTTTAATGTCTGAAGTTTTAACTTCATTAATTGTTTAATAGTTTTGTATTTTATTGATAATCTTGTATTGTTTTTAATTTGTTTTGTTTAAAATATGTTGTTAGCCAACTTGAGATTGGGAGAAAGGGAGGATTTCAATGATGATGAGGATGATGATAATATTTTTTTCAAAAAGTTGCAGCTTTTGAAGATTATATTCAAAATTCTGGTTTTATTTTACATTCTTAACTTGGTAGGACATTCACAGAATTCCCTTCTAATAATTAGTAAATTGTCCACTAATTACTAATAAAAAAATCTTATACACCTATATAAAATTACCCCAAAATTTATCTGGGCCATGGAATTATAAAAAGAAAGAAAAAATGGGGAGGTAATATATTAATGTATTAAGGTATCACCATCCCTGCACTGGGATCCAATTGAAACATGACATTCATGAAAGCCCTGGCTGTCTGAGCAGTTGTACATCATCTTGCTCACTAAAAAACATCCTGGACATTTCTGCATTAATGATTCATGACTATTTTGAAGAGGATGGGGAATAAAACAGAACTGGCTAACATGCTGACTCAGCAACTAAGCAAAACATTGCACATGAACAATAACAGGTCTGCCCTGTCATGGCAGCTGAACTCCCTTTCTTTCCAATCAAACATAACAACAGAGCTGTGGTTTTGACCACAGCACTCATGTTGGTTTAGATATGGAGATGCAGTCTTTCATCTTCCTGACATTCCCCTTAAGCAAACCAAACTATGATATTCTACCCCAATGTCAACACTCTAATACTAGTCACAATGTATAGTTCCAAGAAACATTATATAATTCATTATAACTGTATTAGACTTGGTTGTGTGCTAGATGCATCTAGATGCATCTTGCTGACTATGTATAGTGCTTTTGGACAGACATATTTGTGGAAATGCTGGAGTTGTGGCACTTTTCAACCTAAAAAGGAGATTCCCAATTAGTGATTCTAAGGTTGAGGCTGTATTCTTTTGCTTGAAGGCTGATTGATCTACCACATTTAGGCAAGTGGGGCCCACATGATCACTCCAGATTGTGATGGGCCTAATGCACAACTGTCTTTGGTTTAACTGCTTCCTGGAGGTGTGCTGGTCCCATAGAATCAGCCAGGAATCATGTTGCTGAAAGAGTGGATCCAAGCCCCATGTCTCAACATAGCTATGGAGCCATAGGCAATAAAGTCTGAAAACTTAATTGTGGGATTACTGCCTCCTTCCCATGCTTTCCAGTAAATGCTGTAACTCAATGCACTGACTAGTATTGCACTTGTTTTGTATTGTTTCAGGAAGGGAATTATAATATTCTTACCACACCAGGCATTCTACACTGAGTGTGTCTAATCTGTTTGCATTTTTAAAAACTGGTCAATGTTAGCCTTTAGCTATTGTTTTATTTGCTCGTTTATTGTGATTTATTACATTCCTTTATTAAATTTAAGTTCTGCCTCTAATTATTGAGTGCTTCTTTGTCTCAAGTTAAATGAATAAATATCTGGATTGGTTTGAGAACGAATATCCCACTGCATTTTTGGTATCTTATGTATGCTTAGCACAGTTTGACTGCATTTCACTTCCAAGTATCTCTTTCAATCTTTTTCAAGCCAGAGGAAATTGTTTTTCTCCAAAAGAGAAGAATAGACCGACAGCTGTATTTTCCTTTCAGTATAAATACAGAACATTATTCAGCACAATTACTTTTAGAACTGTGTAGCCATATCCCCTTTCCCCATTTGGGAGACAGCAGCTATTTCAACTCTTCTTCTTTTTTTTCTTTTTTTTTGTCGTGTCAGGAGTGACTCCTGGTGTGAGAGAATTGGCCGTCTGCAAGGACGTTGCCCAGGGGACGCCTGAATGATTTGATGTTTTTATCATCCTTGTGGGAGGCTTCTCTCATGTCCCCGCATGAGGAGCTGAAGCTGATAGAGGGAGCTCATCCACCTCTCCCCGGATTTGAACCTGCGACCTGTTGGTCTTCAGTCCTGCTGGCACAGGGGTTTAACCCACTGTGCCACCGGGGGCTCCATTTCAACTCTTTAAAAGATACTCATTCTGATGAAATGTGAACGCCATACTAGTAAAGTAATCTAGGGGTATATATTTATGATCATCATCCTCATTACAAAATCAAGATATAAAGTCCAAGACAAAAGGTGGGCACACGGTCTGCAAATCACATGCGAGACCAACGATTTTGTAGTATTCCCCAATACCTTCTGCCACCAGTAGTGCAACTGATACTGAATTTTTCACAGCAAGAGTGGACAAAATCTGGTTATTAATCTAAAACAAAGTATATTTTCCATGTATGCCTTGTTCCCAATTAGACCCATATACATGGAAGCACCATGTAAGTACAATTCTCTTTGTAAAAGAGTTGTGAAGAAATAACACCTTGCTTAAATGAAAGGTAACACTTCACCATCACCATACCCAAATTGAGTTCAGGGTATGCCACATGATGGCTATGGAGATGACAGTGCTCCTCTTGACCTTGCAAAGTTGCTTAGACAACTGTTTCACTATGTTACAAACAGGGGTGTTGCATCCTTGAATTATACACAACAGGGGTGAGTAGCACACAGCCCCTGGACTGCATATGCACCGGGCTCTCCATAATAGGGCAAGTGTCAAAACAAAACACTTTGTTCTGATGCAGGCCAGGAAAAACTCTGAACTGCTGGGTAACAATAAATATTTTTATTTGTCACTTAATTGATTCTTCTAAATAAAAACTCTCCAGACACACATATATCCATATTCCTATTTGTAAATTATTTTTGTTGATGCTACAAATTATTATTTTATTGAAGCGATTCCATTTTCAATATTTAAGACTCAAAAATAGAGATATTTTGGGTTAGCAGATATTTCTCAGATGCCTATATTTTGGGATATTACTCAACTATGTGTAACAAAAAGGTCATCTAAAATGAAATCAAACACCCTAAATCATGATGACTGGAGTCTGAAAGAAAAGGCATATGAAGGAACGTCAAGGAAAATCTCAACAAGCTTCTTTGGCAAGTGATAGCACTTTCAGGATGACTTACACAGAATAAATCGAATGGGAAAGATAGACAGATAGGAATGGAAGAGAAATTACTTTTGGGGAAGAGAAAATCAGAAGTGAGATAAAACATAAATCATTGTAACATTTCATTAGAAGCTTTTCGATAAGCAAATGATCATTTAACCCAAGATATTGCCTTTAAGCACATGCATTTGTCTACTTTTGTGGAATACCACATGAGGGATATGTCAAATTTATAGAGCTTCAGTGTCTCAAGAAATAATTCAATTGAATAAAAATATGTTTTGTATACTGTCACCTTGAAGAAGTTGAAGGTGGGGAAAGCAATCTCTAGTTAGCAAACTTGTCAAAATCACAGCCACAAGCTGTATTCTTTCATTTAAGAATCTTGCAAACCATTCTATAGGCGTACATGCATGGATAAAATTTACAAAGTCTGACATTATACTATGGTGTAAAAATGATCAAGGGTTGCAAAAGGTTATGTTAGCAGAACAGGCAAGGTGAGACACTCTTTAAATATGGCAGTGGAGGCACATGGAAAATGGTTCTATGTATGGAAAAACTTTTTACCAGAAAGATGGACATGAGGTGATCAATTGGTAATAGCAGCTGTGCATGAAACAGATAAAACTTGCATATATAAAGACCCCACCACACTGACAAAATCACAGATCTTTAATATGTGTCTAAGTGGATGCCGGCCACATAATCTTGGCAGTGTATATGAACAACTCCGGCTCTTTGGCTTAGAAATGGAGATGAACACCCCAGAGTTGGACAAGACTAGACTTAATGTCAGAGGAAACCTTTACCTTTACTTAAGTAGATGTATTGATACATACATGCATGGACAGATCAACAGATAAACATGTATCAAATGAGTTCAAACTATTAACCAATTTAATTAGTTTATACTAGTTATTTAATCAGAATTAACCCTGATTCTGGTTCACCCTATAACATTTGGAGAAACAAATAGACAACTGTAACTGAGCTCTACTTGGTTTGCATTTCAAAAAGTTGTCTGATAACAACAAAACAAATCAAATCCATATAACACTCAGCCTTATCACACTGGGGCTGTAACACGGGCAGCCCTGTTCTAGCACGAGCACAATTCTTGGAAAAGTAATTTGGGAAAACAAGGACCTCTGTAGAAAAGTATTCAAAAGGCCCCACCCTAAACTACATTTCCCAGAATTCTGCTCATGCCAAAAGACTGGGGCTGCCCACGTGTGATAAGGAGGACTGTGGTGTTATAAAATGTGTTTTATTTATTATAGTCAATAAGAAACTATATAGAGTAGTGTATGTTTTTTTTAAAACAAGAGGGACAAAGAATAGACCCAAAATATTTGAGTTGACTTATCCACTGGTCAATGTAAGGTACAGTATTGACCTGGAAGGGACTATAGCTTTGGCACCAGTGGCACAGCAGAGAGAGAGTTGGAGGGGGGGGGGGGAGAGATTTTTTTAGGTCACCATGGAATGTACTAGGCCTTTTGCCTCTTTATTTCTTTTTATATAGAAATGAATGCACTGCCAAAAGACACTGGCATCATTAAGGTTGGTGTCACCCAGTGGATAATATAATCCCAGGATTGCACCTTCCCTTTGAGGCTACTCAAGAGTTTGCTTATGAGTAGAAAAATGCCTCCCCCCCGCCATATTGCTCAGGCCACTTTGCATTTCACTCCTTCAGCTTCTGGGGTTCCAGTGATGTGCAAGCCTGATCCAACCAACACAAGTCCTTGGGCTTGCCATAGCCATTCTGCCATATAGGAACCAGAAGAAAGGAATGCACCTGCTGCCACCACCAAAGCCAGAAGGCAAAATGAACATGATCACAAGCACAGTACTTTGTCTGGTGAAGACAAGACAGCAATAATGGCCCCTGAGGAATCATTGCCACTTTGCCCTCTCTGCAGAATAACTTATCCAGAATTAATGGACATCAAAAGCCATTAATTTTGGCATCAAAACCTACCCTTAACTCAGGATGTTTTAACACAGCCATGTAATCTGGGTGGGACATGGATTATAGAGATCCAGTTTGCTTTGGAGTGCCTACACAGGCACCCCACAAACTAGTCGGAAGTTGGGACAGTGGCCACAAAGATCTGCTAAGTGCATCCAATCGAAGGATGATTTTTTCCTACTTCCTCCAGTGAGATGAACTGGTTAAAAAACAGTTTCACAACACTTAACTTCAGCAAAGCAAAGCGAGAGCTGGCAATCGAGCATTTCCATGGGAACACTGTGGTTTCCTTTCCAGGGAGAGGTGTTTGTCTACCTTTTGGTCAAGCTGTGAATCTAGTTTCTTTCCCTGATTGCTGCAGCATTAGTCCTGTCTTCATAAGTACTCTGACTCTTAGTTTCAATTGCCTGCTCTGCCTGGAATATACACACATTAGCTTTATGGTTTGATTCAAAATTTATGGTGAATTTTTTAACATGCTGTTTTTGGGTGGATTCATGTTGGAGCTCACATTGGGGTGTAGATTTTGTAGCCATCCCCACTTTCACCAGCTTCCAGCAGGATTATAGTAGCTATGTAGAAGGACCCTTAAGACACAAGGTCGTCTTATACAAGAGTATATACCATGAGGTTCTGTCAGGAGGGAATGAGTGAATCAAACATTGAGAGTGAGAGGTGATTGACAGAATGTCTGAGGGAATTTAATAAGCCTGGTGTATAACAATTGGTGTGAGGAATAAAGAATGTTACCTGCTACATTTGTTAGAGTGACTATTTTAGTGTTGCAGATATAATTATTTATTATAATTTATAATTATTTATAATTATATTTATAATTATTCTTCCCTTTGACATAGCAATCGTTCCACTATAATACTTAAACTTTGTAACATTTTTGAAGCAATGTTTATCTTTTTTGTCATATTTTAATGTTGACCAAAATGTTCCACTGCTTGCATAACTGCAAACTACAACGGGAATAAAACAATAACAAAGAAGTCCTGTTATCTCACTGGCAAGACTTCTATTATTATCAAGCATCTTTTTATCTTACAAAAATACAATCCATATGTCTGCAAAGCAAAAATAATGATACATATGTACTACAAAGCAACTAATACTAAAATAACAGATGAAATAAATCCTGAAATGTTGAACACATACCACATGAGGATGAGAAAATTTAGCACAACAGATCCTGTAGTGAAGACAGAATTGGCACCCTATGAATATTTCCAAGATTTACCTTGGGACCATTCACACTACAAAATTATAGTGCCTTATTCCACTTTAACTGCCATAGCAATATTCTATTGGTTCCTAGGTTTTGCAGACATGAGGTCCTAGAGCTTTCTCTGATTGAGAATTCTAAATTGACTTGAACTTCAGATCCTATGATTCCACAGAATGTTGCCATGAAACTTAGTAGAATCATAGTAATATAATTGTGTAGTTTGGGTGATAAAACCTTACATTTACATATGTGTGACTGATTTAAACATTCGTATTACCTGGAGTGTATACTTCTGTATTTCATCCAAAACAAATTCCACTTCTTTTGAAGTTGTCAATGAAGCAAGGATTCCATTTAAACCATAGCAGTAAAGTCTGGCATTGTCATAATTCTCACGACTGGAGTTTATACGGAGACATGCATCTCCAACATGATTCCATCCTTCTCCACACAGATGAGCTAGTAAAAGGTTACACAAGTTTAAACATAATTATGAAAGCAGAAGTACCACATTGAGAGCTAGTCTTTAGTACAATAGTTCAGCTAGTATGTAGATGATTTACTATCAAACAAAAAAAGAAAATTACAAAAATCAATAAAATACTTCTAAAATGGAATACTGAAAAGGAGCAAGTCAAAGAATGCATGACCAACTGGGCAAAAAATATTCGCAGGACAATAACGATCAAAGAATGGGAGAAGATCTGGAATCACAAATGAAAGAACACCTACTCGTGTGATAAGAAAGAAAACTGGCTATAAATGATGTACCAATAGTACATAACACCACAAAAAAAATCTACATATTACAAACATTTGAATAACAATTGCTGGAAATGCAGAAAACAAGAAGGTATATTCTACCACAGGTGGTGGTCCTGTGAAAGAGCTAAAACATATTGAAAAGACATACATGAAATCTGGCAAAAAATATTAAAAACGCAAATTCAATTTGAACAAGAACATTTTTATTAGGCATAGTCAATATAGACTGGAACATAAATAATGATAAACTATTCAACTATTGACTATGGCAGCTAGGATTGCATGTGCCAGAATGTGGAGACTAAGTGAAAAAACCTCTATGGATCAATGGATAACAAAAATGTTCAACACTATGAACATGGACAGATTGACCTATCTAGTTACAAAGTCACAAGGCAAACATATAAAACCAACTGACTGGACGATGTTTAAAGTATATATAACAGAGAATAAAACAAATATGATTATACAGAATGAACAAAATGGATGGCAATTAAACCACTTCAAGTTCCAGAGAGAAGGAGGAGCAAACATGGAGAACCAGATTTAAAAAGGCAATAAAAAACCACAAAGAAGAGGTTTGGAAGATTGACGCATCGTTTTGTTTTGTTTCATTTTTGTTTTTAGTGGGTTTTTTTGTTGTGTTTTTTCTCTCTTCTCCCTCCTTCTTTTCCCCTTTTTTCTTTCCTTTTTGGACCCATCTCAACAATATCCCCCCTCTCCTCGACCCTCCCTTCCTTCTCCCCACTCTTTTTAATCCTACCCCCTTTTTAAAAACTTCAATAAAATTTATTACAAAAGATGATCTACATTGTCATTTATTTTGTACATTATACTATATATAGTATTTTATCCTGTGCATTAAGAGATGTAGATAAATTCTTGCAAACTTTCTTACTAAATTGTCCCAAAATGTAAAAAAAAAATCATCCCCAAATGTAAAAAAAAAAAAAAAAACTCTAACAATCTGAACCAACAGGGGAAAATTTTATTTTTTTTCTTGTATGAAAAAATATCAATATCATTAGTGTGTGATGCAATCACAGTGCTATGATTGTTCTACAGTGGTTTGACAGTACTAACATTTTAGCAGAGCAATGCTTCAATGTAAATAGCAGTGCTATGAGCTACACAATGGGTATGACAACCAAATTCAGGAGGGAAATAAGTTTATATGAGCTTCTAAATATTATTATGTTTTACACTGACAGATTTAACATTGTTGGGTATCTTAGAAAAGGCTCTTAATAATTACATCTAATCACTTTCTTTTCTTTAACAAAAAATAAAAAAGAATTTCAAGTATTTTTTTTCCCTTTTTACCTGGCAAAGCTTGACATTCTTGCTGTCGCTGGTCCCACTGGCAGTTGAGATTTAGTGAACAACTCTTACAGCTGGTCAGTTTATTGCATATCTGTTCATTTCTTACATGGCATTTGGTGTAATTTTTCACTGACTAGAATAAAAAGAGATATACAGAGTATTATATTCTCCATGAAGCAGAAACACAGAAGGGACTGATTACACATATAAATGATAGCAAGCAGACTGTGGATATATTACTTAATTTTATCAGCTGGTCAATGGACATTCCCAGAGTTCATTTGTGCCTTAAAGCATAATGTGATCTGCTACTTTATTTCATTATAAATATGGATGTGCCATGATCCGTTCGTGTAAAACCGTACACATTGATTAAAAATGCTTCTAAGTGTTCATCAAGAAAGGCTCTGCCCTCTTCTTCCCAGTGTTATAATGGGTCACATATCAAATTTATATATGTGACCCATTCATACTTACTGGGAAATTAGGATCTCATTCTGTGTGCAAGCATCCATATCAGAAGACAAGACGTAAAGAGAGAAAGAAAAGCAACATATATCTGGAGAGGTTAAAATATATAACATCCATGTAAAAGCTAAAAAGGAACTGACACACAAAGAAAACAAGATTAATGGGGGATGTGATGAAAGAAAGAGATGAGAGCAGTAATTACAAAAATGAAGTGATTCAGCTGACATAATACATGTGCAACAAGGAAATACTGGGATTTCCTTTTGAGAGGAAAATAGATACATATCTAGGGAGAGTTGAATGGACTATAAGGAATCTTGTCTTCCCAATAGTTTGGACTGAAGGTGCATCTATACTGTAGAATTAATGCAGCTGGGTGCCACTTTAAATGCCATGGCTCAATGTTATGGAATACTAGGGTTTATAGTTTGTTGAGGCTCCAGCACTCTTTAGCAGGGAAGCTAAAAACCATATCAAACCATTTCCAGAATTCCACAGCACTGAGCCATTGCAGTTACAATGCTGTCAAAAAAATTAAATTTACAGTGTTAATGTATTTTATTATTTATTTGAGAAATGTATATCCCGCCTTTCTCTGAGCACAGATCCAAGGCAGCTAAAACAGAACAAAAAAAAACATACAGTACAAAAGTTAAAACAACCCATAAAATCATAAATATTTGAAACAGGAAATACATTTTAAATTATATAACTATTAAAACCAACATAAAAACCCAGAGCTTCCCTACAACTTCTTTGGCTTAATTTGGCTTCTTTGACTTAATGTATCCTTTGTTCGTTTGGGTTTGCTTTTTCATGTCAGGAGTGACTTGAGAAACTGCAAGTTGCTTCTGGTGTGAAAGAATTGGCTGTCTGCAAGGAAGTTGCCCAGGACACACCCAGATGTTTTACCATCCTGTGGGAGGCTTCTCTCATGTTCCCGCATGGGAAGCTATAGATTATAGATGGGAGCTCATCCCACTCTCTGGATTTGAACCGCTGACCTTTTGGTCAGCAGTCCTGCTGGCACAAGTATTTGACCCATATAGCCACCAGGGGCTCCCATGTACCCTTAGTAATCAATACACTCTTCCTCTTTACAGTTAGACATTCATGATCTTCAAATACAAATTATTTATGGGGGCAAACAGTAGTTTACATAGCAGCAGCACACTGTTGAGATATCAACTTCATATTGGTTATAACCAGGCAGCATGGATAGTGAATGAAACTGTGTTAGTGCACACTCCTTGATAAACAAACTATGAAAGTCTGTCCACCATTTGTTTATTATGAGGTCTGAATCATACATTCTAACTTCCATCTAAACAGAGAAGCCAAAATCATAAGCCAAGAACACTCTATGGATTACAATTCTGACGTGTTTGGAAAGAGATATGCCAGAGTGCCTAATTCAGACACTGCAAATCAAAACCCAATTTAGTTGCTTCTGCTTGCAATGGGAGCCATCAAACAGGATGCAATAACATGTTACCTTCTATTCTAAAAGGATATACGGCATCTGAGTATATCCCATAGTTAGGTACATTATCCCCTTGTATACTACCAAAGATTACATTCAGTATATCCATTTTTAAAAGCATTACAGATAATAGTAAGTTAGCAATAAAATGAAACAATAGGGATCTGAGTTAGAATCATAGAATCATAGAGCTGAAAGAGACCTCATGGGCCATCCAGTCCAACCCCCTGCCAAGAAGCAGGAAAATTGCCTCTGTCGGGGGTGCTTTGAATGCAATTTTCCTGCTTCTTGGCAGGGGGTTGGAGTATCTTGCATTTGTCTGTTGAACTTCATTTTGTTAGTTCTTACTGAAACATCTATTTAGATTACAATATGCCAGTTATTCTTAAAGTCTTACACAGAAGAGGCTTAGCATGAGTTCAGGTGCACACATGAAAACACCATGCTTTCTTATAAGAATTTTACTTAGCTACATACATAACAAATTAGCCAAATCGATTATTGCAAGCCAACATAAGGTAAGCCTGTAAAAATATGAATTTCACAGAATCATTTATACTTATTTGCATTTAGTTTGGTTCAGTCATTATACATTATTCACAATGCTGCCTGAGAGGTATGTTACAATGAATTTTAAATTGCAAGTAAGTACCATCTGTTCATTGTCCCCACCTAATATTCCTTGTTAACATGTCATTATCACAATGTCAGATTCTTGAAAGGTTCAGGCCACATTTCTAAAATGAATCCATATGTTAGTAAGCAATGTCAAATGAAATAACTAGAAAAAAATATTTTACCACCTTTTCATGATGTGTCTTCCTAACTATTGATAACCCAAAGCTACTTAACAATATTTAAAAGTAAAGTTAAATTATTCTCTCAATTCTGCTACCTATTCCCATACTCCCAACCCTAATTTCTTTTTAATCAAATTTGCATAGTCTTTCCCAGACAAATTTCATCGGCCTATCATAAATGCATACCCAACAGGTGATTCTTGTTACCACCAAGGTCCTAGCCAAAATTAACAAAACATATCATGAAAATTAAAACATCTGTTTCACGGGTTTTCCTATAGTATCAAAAATGTAAAACACCAGCATGAAAGGACATGTATGCGGTTACCCTTGTTGATACAGGATTTATCATAAAATATCTGCCACCATCTTAGGTATCTTACTTGATGATGGAAAGTAAACTATCATAATTCTCAAAGCCTGTGCTATAGGATGGATTACAAGGGAACGGAAGAACCCCAAAAGATACATCTTGCAACTGTTTGCTCAATTTGTAACGTTTGTTCTCTAAATCACCCAAAGGATGTCCAGAACTGTATTTAAAGTGGTGGGGTTCAACATTGGCAAGGAGGTGATTATTAATTTTGCTTACTTGCAGTGAGAGATCAAAATATTTTCCTCATCCATCATCACTGATTTTTTTCCCTATGAAAACTAATAATCAGAATGTATACGAGAAGTCCACCTATGTTTTCAGTGTAGCTTCCAAATCAGTATGTATGGGATAGATCCATGCAGAGTTTATTGTTGCTGGAGCCTGGAGGACAGGTTGAGTAAACGAGAACGTACGCCTATGTTAATTTTTCTGAACATTCAATCCACTCTTATGTTTCTGACTGATAATGTCTGAGGTTCTACCACATGTGGTGGACATGTCCCAAAGCTAGAAAATACTGGAGAACAATACAGGAAGCCTCTCAGAAGATACTTCAAACAATACAATTAAAACCAGAATATTTCCTTCTCGGCATCACGGATGAAGACATTCCACTTGAAAAAAATAAAGACAAACTATTCACCTACCTGACAACAGCCGCAAGGATAATATACGCCAAGAAGTGGAAATTAAAGGAACTGCCAACCAAGGAAGAATGGGAAGCTAAAGTATCCAAAATAATGGATATGGACTTATTAACATACTATCTAAAAGACCCGGAGGGGAAACCCATACACCCAACAGACTGGACCCTTTATAAAAATTATAAGGAATCACAACGAAGCCCACGAAGACTTAATACTCCCAAGTGAGTACAAGTTATAGAATTGAAAACAAGAAATTAGAGACTTGAAAAATCCAAAAAAAAAGTGACCAACATCAAACAAAAGTACGGCACCCTGACATTAACTCTAGTCGTGTCCGACTCAGGGGATTGGTGCTCATCTGCATTCCTAAGCCAAAGAGCCGGTGTTGTCCATAGATACCTACAAGGTCAAGTGGCCAGCATGACTGTATAGTGCACCGTTACCTTCCAGCAGAAGCAGTACTAATTGATCTACCCACACTTCAATGTTTTTGAACTGCTAAGTTGGCAGAAGCTGGGCCTAACAGCAGGAGCTCACCCTGCTCCTCGGATTCGAACTGCCAACCTTCCGGTTAGCAAGTTCAGCAGCTCAGCGGTTTAACCCGCTGCACCACCGGGGGACTCCTGTTAGGTTTACTTGGTACTAAAATCTAGTACAATTATATAAAAAAAATTCTTCCTGGACACTGCATAAATTTCCTTCTATTAGTACTAGACTAATCAATGGAATTTACATAGGTATTATCTTAACAAAGTCATAATTTATTCAAAATTTTTACCTGGGACTCAAAACAGGAGTCTGTGGCCATAGATTTTCAGATTTTCAATTTGCTAACATTGTAATCAAAGCCAGGGGTTTTCCCTCCTCAAATTCTCTGATGTTTTACTGTTCTTCATGACTTATCAAAAATAATTACTTGTGGTTCACTATGTTCATTAGTTAATTCCCTTAAGATCTAGAGAAGCATATACAATGGCTCAGCTAATTAAAGTAGTTCAAGGTTTATCTTGTTTGGGCTAGTCTTCAAGATATTTTGAGCACTCCCCAGTTTCTTATCAACTTTACAAATGACATTTTTCTTCCCACATTCCTATGAAGGCTTCTATTTGTTTATTAAAAGTTTGATAATGATTCTAACTTCTTGAAGAATTATATTTTTTTCTAACAGACCTAGTGATATTTTTCTCATTGTGTTTTTCAGTCCATGTTGATTTGCTAGACTAAAATTTATAAATATTTTTCACACAATTATTTGCTTACTAAACCAAATACAAAAAAATTCATGTCTCTCTCTTCTCTGTTCCCTCATCTGTGCATCACAATGATACTTGGAAGTGTTAAATGAATCACATTTTTCCATTATATCCACATTAAAAAAAACTATAGTCACTACCTTCGGAATAAGTCAGGATCTTAAAACAACCTAGCATGTTTCACCATGTTTAAATGAGGCACTGAAGAGTAAAGAAAGAGACTGATAAGCAGGAGCTGTGAAATGATCATTAATATCTTATTATGGTAATATTTCAATGAAGGAACAAATTCACAAAAAATGAAACATGCAAACATTTTTATTTTGTTGAGAAACAAATTGACTGATTCACAAAAACTGGAACATACAAACATTTTTATTTCTTTGGAAAATAAAACATGCTCTATTCAGTATATTGAGAAGATCATAGCATTTGGCACATTATCTGTTACTAAATCCCTTTGCCTATCCCTCCCATTGCCAACACTCAAGTACAAAGTGAATTCAGTTGCAGGACACTTGTATGTATCTATTAATGCTCAATGTATAGGCAATGCAATGGATCTATTCCTTTGTTTGAGTGTAGAGAAAGAGCGGGTAACTTAGAAAGATCTGTTTTAAAACTCTGTTTTTACTATGTTTCCACCATTTTAGCATTCCTGACCCATTTGGAAGTTCAGCTCCATTGCTTTCTCAATAAAGATAATATATGATGTGAGATTAGTCCAAAGTATAATTTCTGTTCATTATCCAGCTGTCCTTGCCTAACAGGCCTTAGATGATGTATGCTTTCAGTGTAATATTCTTGGCCTAGTCCTTCCTTTTATTCATTTCTTATCTAGAGATTTTACCATTGTTTTTCTAAGTATCACATATGAAAAAATACATAAACTGGTATTTGGAACTTTAAAATCATTGCATGCATAAAGCTCTTTCAATTTTTATTTGCTTTTAGAGAGAAAAATTTATTATAACTATGTTTTTATCAACTCAAAAAAATACCCACAGCATTCTGATGTGCTTGCAAGGATTTGCTTTATCTCAAGTAATTTTACTCTCTTGTCAAAAGCTCTACTGCATACCACTGATAACAAATAAGTAAAGACAATCACTTTCAATATTAATCTCTATGTTTCTTTTCAAAGGAACATGTATCAGTGTGATTGGGGGGGTATTGTCGCTTTTCTTTTCAAATGAAGAGAAATAAAGTTGTAGATAAGATCGCTCCCTCATTTTCCTAAAAATAAATATACGTATTGCATATAATATATGAAGACAGGAAAACAAAAATAACAAGAACTAATATTTTGTGAGAATATATCCCATTATTTGAAAGCAAAAAATTCATGATTAACCTGATTATAATCTCAGACTTTTTGTAGATCCCAAAATCACTCAACAGCTATACCTTATAAATTACATGTTTATTTGGTATTGTATCATGCCTCCTACTATATCAAATGTAGCAGAGACAACAATATGACCTTTTTGGCCATACATATGTACCTTAGAATACATTCTGATGAACTCTATGTAGATTACTTCTAAATAGACATTTATATGGGATTACACATTAGGTAATCATTTTAATTTAGTTGAGTCAAAGGATGGGATAGGAATTCTGGACTATAGCAAACATCTGTCTGTAGCCGAAGACTAACACTCTAAATCAGTGGTCCCCAAACTAAGGCCCACAGGCCGAATGCAGCCCTCCAAAGTCACTTAACCAGCTCCCACCTTAAACTTTAGACCTAGAATTGTCCTAAGTCTGAAATGACTTGAAGGCACACAACAACAACAACAACAACAACAACAACAACTCTAATTAACTTGACTGTCTCATCAGCCAATACAGGCCCACACTTCCCGTTAAAATACTGGTAAGTTTGTGTTGGTTAACATTGTTCTTAATTTTAAATATTGTATTATTCTTTCATATTTTTTGCACTACAAATAAGATATGTGGAGTGTGTATAGGAATTCATACATTGGGTTTTTTTTCAAACTATAGTCTACCCCCCTACAGTCCGAGGGACTGTGAACTGGCTCTGTGCTTAAAATGTTTAAGGACTTCTGCTCCAAATAATTCTGAATTTGTTCTATATGATTATTATGAACATTTCATCAATAATGAGCAGGATTTAAATCACATTTCTGTGATAAAATGTGGGTCCAATCCTACATTTTAGTTCAAGAACCGTAAGTTTCATTTTAGTATACCTGAAATGTATACTCTTTGCTATTCTACCTCAAATTCATTCTGTAGCTGCAATGCTTGAAGCGTATCAGCATGGGATACAAAGGCATCAGATGTCATATACTGGGATCTGTTAAATGTGATCAGTTTTGTGATGAACTAAAGTGGTCACTGAAACTTTATTATACTTTCCTATGAATGAGATCCTGACTATTCCCAATTCCATTGGTCCATGATAGTCCAGCAACTGAGAAAGAGCTTTAGAGAAGAGGAGACAACTCACATGATAGCAAAATAGCTAGATAAAAAAACGTTTCTAGAATCTTAAATGCTTGTGAATGTCACCTAAGGCTGGCATTATTTGCTTGACTGGCAAGGGAAATTGAAAAATACAGTGGATGTATTAGTTCCATTATTTTCTTTTCCAATTAAATTAAATATCTTTGCAATTAATATATGAAGAAGTTAATTTAGGATGTATTTCAAACAGTGATTCTAATATGACATTTACATTTGATGGCACCAAAGAACAAGCTAATGGTTATAAAGCAGTGTCATTAATGAAACAGTCACAAACTCATATATACTCACAACACTGCAGTTGCTATTTGCTGAAATGCACTTCTTGTCATCACACCACTGGCAGCCATTTGTATTGGCAGTACAGCTGGCACAGTCTGCATATCGGTAACATCTGTCATCTGCTGCAGCTATAATACAAATGAAAGGCAAGGCAAAGCATCAAGATGAGAGACAAAAGATGTTATATGTTTTAATACACGCATTTTAATAGCTGCTGGAAACAAAATCCAAGACTTGCTCATAATACATTTATTAAGCTAAACATGTTAACGACGTTTTATTCATACTCTGTCACATGTTCATAGCATTTCTAGCATCTCTGTCCCCTGCTCTTTTGAATCAAAATTAAAAACATTAGTACCTAAATATGCTACTGAGATTTTTTTGAAGGTTATTCATTAGTTAAATGAGAGATATCTGCATGGGACACCCATGATGACCTGGATTTCTCACAGAGCTCTGCAGCCGCCTGGCAGTGCTGACAACTACAATCCTTTTTTTCTTCTCTGATGAGCTCAGGAGGGGAATAGTGGCATTCCCTCTTGTGGCCTGCACAAGCCCAATTGAACTTGACCCTGCTGCAGAGGCGGCCCTAGGTAATTTTCAATAGTAAGCAAACAGTATTTTGGTGCCCCCCCCAACCAATCATTGATATATATTTCCTGTTTGTTGTGGGAGTTCTGTGTGCCATATTTGGTTCAATTCCATCATTGGTGGAGTTCAGAATGCTCTTTGATTGTAGGTGAACTATACATCCCAGTAACTACACTTGCTGCACTTGCTCCCTTGCCTGACCCACTTTGGGTCCGGAGGCGTGCCTGAAGACCCTGGCGTGTGCACCAAAAGTCACCTCTTCTCCTGAGCAAGAGAGAGAGAGAGGTGGAGATGCCCACCTTTCCTGAAGGTAGGTGCAAAAACAAAGGAGGGAGCGGAGGTGGGAGATACCTCCAGCCAGAGGGGCTCTCTCTCTCTCTCTCTCTCTCTTGGTCCCAATGGCTGAAGAGAAAGTCAGGAGAAGAGGCGACTTTTGGTGCGCACGCTGGGGTCTTCAGACACGCCTCCGGACCCGAAGTGGGCCAGGCGGGTCTGCCCCTTGGCCCACCCGCGGATTGGGGAGAGGAGAGGAGGCGGGTGGAGCGCCGGGGGATCGGGAAAGGGAGCCGGTCATGGGGAAGGGATCGAATGCGGAGAACGATTGAGCGCCGGCTCTGCTCGCACCCGGTGGCCGGGTGGAGCAGGAACGAGAGGGGCTAGGCGGGGCTCAAGGGCTCGGCCCCTTTGGGAAGAGGCTCGCCCGGCAGCGAGGCAAGAAAGCCGAGGCTCCCCCCGGACTGCTAGGGCTGTTGTGAGCCAAGGGGGCGCTCCTCAAGTGGAGGTCGAGGGGCATTTACAGAGGTGCCTCTGCGCCCCTGGCAAAAAAAAGGTGTTCTGCGGCCGCTTACTTCGCGTAATGGATGAGCCACCCCTGCCCTGCTGTCCACACTATTCTGAAGCTGCAAGTTTAGCCCTGAGTTGCTCCTGAGTTTCAAGAAAATGCCAAGAATCCCTTTACTTTTCTTAACACAGAGCTAACCCAATTTATCTGGTTTAGCCCATGACACTCACTTGAAGTACAGGAATTTCATGGGAACAGCCAGGATCGAAAGCACAGTGAGGAGAGATTTTTAGTTCTATGCTGACAAGCCCTGAAATGTGATTTGAATTGTTGCTTGCACCATTTTCTTCATTTCTGTATCAATCTTTCAGTGAATTTTAATGGATCTGAACATGGTTGAATAATTTTGAAAACAGGTTTTTATCACTTTTTATTGATGATTATGTATACTGTTTAAACTGTATTTTAAATCAGTTTTAAGATATTTTAAGTGCCAGTATTGAAGGTAATTTGGATAAAAATGGATAAACAAATAAAATTTGGGCGAAATGGCTGAGTCTAAGACATCTGATGCGTCTCATGTCTGAATAGGAAGGTGAAGCCTCTTCAACCTGGGTAAAGTCCTGGGTTCCATCTGCTATTACTTGTTTATTATATATCTACAGGAATAGTTTAACAGTTAAGGCATAAAATATGATTTTAAAAACCTTCAACATGCAGACTGTAGACATTTGGCCTCAGGTTTTGCTGCTACCAGCCTATACAATGATCAAATACAAAGATAGGTGGGAGTTCACACTACAGAGATCAACAAAAAAACAGCTGTCCTATATGAACTAAGACATTGATGAATAAAAGACCCCAGATTTAAGATATGTGCTAAATTGGCAGGGTGTGATCCTCCCAGTAGTTTGAGGGATAAATGGAAGGGAAGCATTCTTCCAGAAGTATCTATTTCTACCAGCACTTTAGAAGATAATAGACCTTTTCAAGTATACATAGAATAATATCAACAAGTTCATCTAGGGCAAAGCTTTATTGCATAGCTCATATAGCTCTAAAATCAGTGGTTCTCAACCTGTGGGTCCCCAGATGTTTTGGCCTTCAACTCCCAGAAATCCTAACAGCTGGTAAACTAGCTGGGATTTCTGGGAGTTGTAGGCCAAAACACCTGGGGACCCACAGGCTGAGAACCACTGGTCTAAATAGTCTGTACCATGACCAATTTCCTCTGGTGAGCATATCTAGATTATTTTAAATAATGAATTTTTAAATTACGAGTTGCTTTTTTAAATATTGTTTTTAATAATAATCTTTTAAATGATGTTGTGCTCTCTTAACTGACTCTATATTTTAATTGGTGTCATGTATGTCTTGTATTTTAACTTGTTATCGCCTGCCTCGTTACATAAAGAAAGGCACGTGAGAAATCCTATTATGCTCTTGTTTTTCCACACTTTTTCTATTCTAATCTCCAAATCCCTCAGTTCAATAAAATGATTATTAATTTGCATTCTGAACATTCAGTTTCTAAAAGATACACAGTAAACCTTCATTACATTGGTTTCCTTTCTCACTCACTTCTGCAATATGATAATATTTATTTGTGGAAGTTTTTCTTTTTTCTGAATCATGTACTTCTTTCACAAGCTACATTACTGGCACATTTTCTCATTGCATTTTTCCTCAAAATGATAACTATTCACTTTAGCAGTTATTGCCAGAAAGTAGGAAACAAAGACATACAGTTGAAAAAAGGATCACAAGGGGAAAAAGCACTGGAAAATACAAAGCACTGAAAATCATGTTAAAATTACACAACTGAGTGAATGTGCTCCAAAGGCTAATACATTACATGGAATACAGTAAATCAGATATATAATTTTCAGATCTAGATGTGTTCCTAAACTAGCATCAGCAAAGGATAATCACAAAATATACTTGAAAGACGAGGTTCTTTTTCTGAATATTGAGATCTCTCGTTCTACTTCTATCTTGAATATTATTCCCTCAGAACTCCTGACCAATACAGAAAAAGTATTACAGTATAATTTGCTTATCTCCTCTGCTTAACCACACATCATCAAATAGATGAGATTAAATTGATTATACAGTATTTCAATTTCAAAAGCAGTGTGGAGATCACTTTCCTAAGAAATACTGCAACCCAGGGATTGTCTATACTGTCCCAAAATACCGCATCGGACGAGACAATGCTCCTGGATGTCCAAAAAATGTCCAGGGATGTTGGGTTCATATATCATAAGTAGAATCAGTTAATCCACCTGCATCTATGGCAGGCATCCTCAGAGGTCTGTTGGAAACTAGGCACGTGGGATTTGTAGATATGTGGAATGTCCAGGGTGGGAGAAAGAATTCTTGTCTGTTTGAAACATGTGTGAATGTCACAATTGGCCACCTTGATTAGTATTTAATGGCCTTGCAGCTTCAAGGTCTGGCTGCTTACTGTTTTGGATGGAGACAGCCAGTGAAATCACACCTCAGGCTAGGCACTTTCCTGGCTGTCTCAACTTCTGCTTTCTCCCAATACTCATGGAAGTATCCACAGAGCTCACCTCAGAGAAGTGGCGAACCATAGCACAACATGTACAGAATTTGATACTCCATATGAAAGAGCGCAGTTGTCGGCTTAAAGCCATACTAAATTAAATAGACTTTATCTGAAGTAAATTGTCATGGAAAAGCAACCCTTGTCAAATGATTATTACTATAGCATTATTGGGTTGCTGTGAGTTTTCTGGGCTGTATGGCCATGTTCCAGAAGCATTCTCTCCTGATGTTTCGTTCACATCTATGGCAGGCACCTTCAGAGGTTGTGTGGTCTAGCATTATTGCATGGAATGTAAAATATTTGTGATTATATGTAAAAAAAAAGTATTGTGATATGACAATAATTATATAAATATTAAAATATATTAAACCGGGTAGTTTTCAAATGAGCTGATTCTTGCTGTTTAGTTAATTCTAGATAAGCAAAACAAACTGCTTGTGTGATCTTTTACCTCTATATAACGAATGAGGACTATGTAGGCTCAGAATGTCCTTCTTTTTTAAAATAATAAAGGATAAAGAGTCCTGACTACTGCCTAATGAAAAGGATCCTAATTTCATTTAGAATAGACATGGAGCAATTTTATAGCTATCCCATTCAGTTTAAAAACATAGTCACCAGCTATAGGAATGGGTTCATTTTCATCAAAAAGCTGATAAAAACACAGCTCAGTAAGGGCATGGTTTAAATGAGCACTGAATGAAAGGATAACCAATAAATAAATAAATAAAATGCATCAAAATTGTTGGCAGAGACATTTATTTATCACTAGAGTTGTCTGAGGAAATGCAAGCAATCATTTTAATCATCTATAAGGAAAACTAAGAGGCTCATTCTGGAATATTTTCAAGTGAGTGCTCCAGGAAAAAGCTACCAGCGAACCCAAATGTATGTCAAAATTCAACAGCCAGCGCCTCCTCTTGCTTCAATCATGTCATCAGATGCTCTTCTATATTTGAAATCCATTATTACATTCTGATTTCTTGACACATCCATTTCAAACTCTTCTTATCACAAAGGCCATGATGGCCTTTCTATATGCTTCCCTTACTGTTGTAGTTTCCAAAGACCTTTCATTTTACTTCACCTTTTAGTCTGGCATTCACATCTCTTTCCCTTTCATTTGTGAGATTCTCAATAACTAAAGAAATGTTTGTCCTCATTCAAGATGCATGTCTTTTCCCCTTAAAAAAGCCCTTACATTTTGCCATTTCACCCTGTACTTCCTCTGTTAAAAAAATACTCCTACTTTGCCAACTAAACATGCTTTACAGTGTTCCTCTCTTTAAAAACCTCATCACCTCTAAACATTATTTGCAGAAAAGGAATGTCTGCTTTGTAGTAGTATTAGCAGCAGCAGCAGCAGCAGTGGTAGTAGTAGTTAGTGGTGGCAACAGAAACAACTATCTTTAAAATGGTTAATTAATCATTGTTTATTTAGTGTAAAACACAGAACCTCAGACAAAAACACATTTTGTATTGATAGCTTATTAGTGAGGGATCTTCTGGTACTGCAAAGTGGGGGGGGGGGGGCTACCAGAGCAGTGTTATATATGGATACATCTGCACTGACTACTTAGCTCAGTTAATCTCAGAATCATCTCTTTGGCAGCCAGACACCACATGAAACTGATCCAGGGTAATACGGGTCAAGACCCCCTTAATGCGGCCTTGCCTTGTGTTAACCAAAGTCAGGGGATATTCCATATTCTGGCCCAGAATTCAAACTGTTCCCTTACTGGGTACCACCTGAACAGTACCAGAATCAGCCACAACTATTCTCACTGCCATCCTTTGTCACCCAGACTGAGGTGGCTCAGGGACACAGGATAGAACTTAGCATTCCCTTCTATCCTCCGTGTTATGCTTAGAATGCTCCATTTCCAGACACAATATGGATTCTACCTGCTGGCCATCACCTTAGTGACACCAGCTAGGACAACAGGATGATTGGGGAAAGGAGGGAGAGAGGAGGGAGCAATTCCTGCTCTCTTCTCTCCCTTGTCCCTCTTCTACCCAGCAGATGTTATCTCAGGCAACAGTCAACTGATAACACCTGTGTCATAGCTCAAGTTACACACTGTTACACAGAGAAGAGGAGGGATAGTAAGGGTGGCCTTCCGGCACCACCAAACCAGATTTGGCAACACTAGGCAGTCTGACCCATACTGGGGTCAATCCAGCCTATAGAAAACTGGATCAGTGGGTCAGTGAAGATCCATCCTATGTCACAACAGAGTTCCTGAATGAGTAGAATGTTGTTCTTCTCACACAAGGTGCCTCTCAAACCCAATTCCTCTTTCCTATTTTTTTTTCTTGAAATGTCTGTCACATGCTTCATATGATTCATATATGTAGGAAATGTGGGACCATGGCTTCTGGCTTTGCTCTATATGTACATTCAGCAGATGCAAGAATGTCTATAGTAAAAGCTTTCCTATACTCAAGCACTGCTCTGTAAAATCAGTACCCTTCCCTATAAATTTAAGCACTATTACAGCTTATATTAAAAACACTTAATAATAGGGGCAGGGGAACCTAGTACTCTATTACATGCATATAATTTTTGTTTAACTCATTATTATTGTTGTGAATAACACACCTACCTGTTCTCTTGGGACATTTTGCTCTCAAAATATTATTAGCATATCCAGATTCCCATGACGCACAGTGATTTTTGTTCCATAAGCACCTTAAGCCTGGGCCAGCAGTTTTACAAAGCTCCTCATCTCTGAATGCCTCACAGTTGGGAGGTTTGTACACGAGAATATCATTCAACAAGATACTTGAAAAGCCTCCAAATATGTACATAGACCTGTTGAATAAAGTACAATAATGTTACATTTCTAAAAAGGATAATACTATTGAAAGCCTTATTTATCATAATCCTTCATTATCAACTTCTTTTTGTGTATCTGTATTTTTTCCGTAAATTGTTCTAAATTTATGGAATATAGTAGACAATACAGTACTCCCTCACCTATCGCGGGGGTTCTGTTCCAGGAACCCCCACGATAAGTGAAAAACCGCGATGTAGGGACCTTATACTGTATATGTATATAGCTTCGCCCACTCCTTTCTCCCCTCCTCTCTTTCTCTTTTCTTCTTCTCTTTCTCCCTCCCTCCCCGTACCCTTGCTGGAGCCACTCTCCTCCCCCCCCTGCTTCCCCACTGGTATGGGGCTCTCACCCGGTCGTTCCCTCACTACCTGTATTTTAAATTAATTTTTTTGAAAAGCCACAAAAACGGCAAGTCTGCAGTTAGCGAACTGCGAAGCAGCAAAGGAACACTGTATTGACTATACTAGACAATAACTAGCAGACTCAGTCAACTCCTTAAAAAAAAAAGAAACATACTGAAACACTGTTTGCTACTGTAGAAGTATAGTGCCTTCTGTAAACACAATTAACCTTGGCTTTATTACACAAGGTATGACAAAAGAATAGCATTCTTAAAATTACTTTAACACTGCACTTTTTGCTTTAGGAAATACAATATTAGCATTTTTGTTTTAAAATGGCTTTGCAGTCTATTTTCTGTATCTGCAAGTATTGTCAGGGGTTGAGAGAACATGGGCCCTACATGCAACATTGGATGGTCATACTTCCAACATGTCCCCTCTCCAGTTTTCTGAACTAAAAATCCTCCTCTGGGCCAAAAAACGCCTAGGGGAAGTAATTTTGTGCAGAAAATGTTGTGAAGGTCATTCGTCTCCCAAAAAAAGTTCAAAAGGGATGTGTGCTGTGTCCACAAGGACATATATGCTCCCACAGGTCACATCTTCTCCATCCCTATTTTAATTCTTCTGTACTTTTGTGATGAGTACTACCTATTTTTAAGTTAATCCAAACCTACTCAACTTTTTTTTCAATACAAACATCTCAGGACATTATACAGAAGACAAGAGTAAAATGTGAAAATCACATAATCTTCTAAATACAGACAATAATTGACAAATGTATCAACAATATGTATTTTAAGAGATCTTTTCAAAATGTGTACTTACCCATTGCTGACAATTGCAGAGTGACCAAATCTGTTCACATCCCGATGAAGATTAGGTTTAGGTAGAATTTTCCATTCATCACAAGCTAGTAAGACAAAAAAAGGAAATACAATTTCTGGTCATTAACACTGGAAAAAAAATCATACATTAGCATAATTATGACAAATCCAAAGTGACCAATATTTGTTCACCTCCTGATGAAAATTAGATTTTTAGAACAATTTTCCATTCCCCAGTGATCATCAAAATAAGATATGACAATTAAATTTCCTTTTAGTAAATTTTAAAAAGAAGATATTTAAAATTTGTATGATTTTGTGTGTGTGTGTGTCAGGAGCAACTTGAGAAACTGCAAGTCACTTCTGGTGTGAGAGGAAAGCAAAGATACTACACTTGATCTTAGCCAAAAGGCTGAGAAGCGATTTCTGGTGTGAGAGAATTGGCTGTCTGCAAGGAGGTTGCCCAGGGGACACACAGATGTTTTTGATGTTTTACCATCCTTGTGGGAGGCTTCTTTCATGTCCCCACATGGGGAACCGGAGCTGACAGAGGGAGCTCATCTGTGCTCTCCCCAAATTTGAATCTGCGACCTGTCGGTCTTCAATGGGTTTAACCCATTGCGCCACCAGGAACTCCATTTGTATGCAATATTCCTGCTTCTTGGCAGGGTGTTGGACTGGATGGCCCATGAGGTCTCTTCCAACTCTTTGATTCTATGATTCTATCATTCATACAAATACAATTGTCTCTCTCGTCATATGTCTGCTGATTATCTATTTTTAATAGTTTCTGAGTTAGGGATACAATTGTCTAGAACAGAAGAGGTGATTGCCTACCATATGCAAATTCTGCTCACAGTAATAACTGATAGTAAAAGCACTTCTACTTAGATTGCCCTTACAATAGTGAATAATTTTCATAAACTAAAGCCAGGATGTTGCTGTTTTATCTCAGAAGGGTTGATAAAATCCCAATGTACTTGAGGAACTCATCTCAAATAAACAAGTTCAACACTGAAAATCAACATTCCTCTTGCTTGTAGTTTCTAACCTTGCATGATCTTGTGGATGCTGAAGGAACATGCTCTGCCTCTGATCTATGATTCCTCCATAAAGGCTTTGTTTCAGAATGTGGAGTTTAAAATGTGCTCCATGATTCTACATTACATTGGACACATGTGATTTTTGGCTTCTTTCTATGTTATCCCTTAACAAAAAATAATCACCCTTTCACCCTCACCCTTGCTCTCCTAAGAGCTTGTTATCATTCTCAGTGTTATCACTATAGCACAATACTTGCAGATACAGAAAATGGACTGATTTTTCAGCTAAAATGGGCTGATTCAGAGCTTATGCCCAGATTCAACATATAGAGCTAAAACCTGCCAAGACTACTTTGTTTCACAGTATAACACTATGTCATTGCTAGTGACTAAGGCAGTGATGAATAATATCAAGAATGTTTGGGGGAAAGACACTTTCCTAAAATAACAGTTGAAAAACACTACAAAGAAGTGTCACCACCAATCAGAATAGGTACTGATTGGAAGTGCCAGCACAAGAGATAGTGATATTAAAAACAAGTTGGAATATCCCTTATTCCAATGCCCATCGGCCCTAGATGTACTTCTAGTATTTAGATGATAAGAGCTTTAGATAGGAATGATGTTATTTATTGGAAAATAAAAGTGATGGACACTTATGAATTCAATTTCTATTTCAGGAACATTTTTTTCATGTGAACTATACAAGGCAGATGTGTTTTATCACACCAGCTTCCCAGCAAGATCTTTCAATTATGCTATAAATTCAAGTGTCTTCAAGATCCTATAATTCAGTGAATGTCTCAGACAGCTTACCAGAGCACACAGGAAGATCTATGCACACAATGACCAAGGGGAAAACACTTTCTGCAAATAAAATCCATACACACCATTCATTTTCATTGCGTGGGGGTTGGGGTAGTTGGGGACTTTGCCCACTTGGAGGGGGAACGAGGAAAGAGATGGGTTTTAACACTGAAGCAAACCCATAAAAATCATTATTAAAAGCCAGGTTTAAGATAAGAAATCCTTGCAGCCTCCAGATATAATAATTCCCTGCTTGCTCATGTTATTTGTCAAACTGACAGGTCTTTTCAATAGACTATAGAAAGTAAAAGAAACATGTTACAAATAGCCTTTCTTCTTATCTTTTCTAGCCTTCTCAATAACTGCTAAACATTGAACAGAGCTCTGTACTAGAAAAATAGTTTTGCTCAATGGTAAAAAAAAATGTGACTACAGCTTTTCTGTACAGCACGTATTCATTTACTTGAAGCATAACTATTTCAAAGCAGATAAACATTTAACATAGGATACAATCTAGTTTGTCTTTGCTAAGAACTATTTCAACTTGCCCTTGCCTAAAGCAAACCATGCAAACATTTAGACAATGTGAAATGTATTACAGAACAAGTCTCTGTTTGCTTCCTTATTATATACACATCCTGATTAAATCATTCAAAATATAATGATGTTAGTATGCATACCACCACCTCCTTGACCAAAATGACCTTAGGAATATTCAATTTTTTGAGAATTCAAGTAATTATAGATGCTATTTTTAAAGTAGAGTGCTGCAATGGAACTGTATGAGATGTAAACACAACATACCGATAATTGAGTTTCACTGAAAATAAAAATTACTTCCATCTCCTCTGTGATTGAATACAGCCAGGTAGCATTACTCAGCACAAACTTATCTGTTTGCTTTTTGCTTCCAGACTCGGGATACAAAGACCAATAAAACATTGAAGTTTGGTATAAGAATAGGACATTTCTTTTTTGGTTTATTCAGTGGCAAATCAATATTTTTTATTCCAGTTATAAAAGTACATTTTCTCATATAGATAGATAGATAGATAGATAGATAGATAGATAGATAGATAGATAGATAGATAGATAGATAGATGATAGACAGACAGACAGATGGGGGGACACTTCCAGACAGCACCAAAATCCGGGTTAAAAATGGGGGGGGGAATTCCAGGACCTGACTGTAGGCCCCCACACAGACCTGTTAGTCCCGGGATTGGGGTCCCCCACCATCCTCACAGGCTTCCTCTGTATCAGAACAAGATGGAGGGTGGATGGGAAACATCTGGCAGAAGGTTATTTTAAAAAACTCCATTGTGCACTGGACTTAATATGCGCATACGCATATATACACACATGCACATTTCTTATCTCTCTCTTCCCCAAATTCTTAATGCAAGCTCTGTTTAACATTATAAGGTGTGAAATAAAGAGTTTCAGAGAGTTCCAATTGCTCTCCGTTTGTGCTTCCTTTAAACTACCCGTGTGTCATTTTAACAGCTCGATCAGCTAATCTGCTGTTTTGGGCTTGTTAAAAGCAGATATGCACTGGAGCAGTCTCCACAGAGAGGAGGGGAGGAAATCACATGGTTTGCATGACTGCAGGGTTATACAGTCATGTAAATATACACATTTTCTGGTCAATAGCAGAATATAAGGGGACTGTTTATCATGTGTTTTTCCTCTGTTAATGCAAATCAATGTGGATTTAGCACTAGCATCATTTAACACTCCCCCCCCCACCTTTTAACCTTGTAACTTGCACATTTTAGGTACTGTGTAGAAGGTCCCAAACAGAGCTGGTTGAAATATCATACAATACATTAGAACTATCTGTATACCACCTACTCTACAAGCTATATTTAACAATAGAGTACATTATCTCCCAAACACCGTTTAAAAAGTTGTGTCATCTATATGAAGCAATTTAAGTCCTATATCATTATGATTTTGGTTTTATAAATTGGGAGCTATAAACAGATAATTGTTGTTGCAGTTTGCAAAAAATATATAACTTTGCAATAATTACAACCACATGATCTGTAATCCACTGCAGCTGTTACTTTACATTTTGGGTAACAGCATGTTAATAATCTACTCAGAATTACAGAAATTTTGGTATAAATGTTAAACCATTCCCTCCATTTTCCCTATTTAGATATACCATCTGCTTGTCTATTATGGCAACTTTATTTTGACTATTACTTAAAACATAATAATGGAACATTTTATCTTAAAGCTTTTCCAATCTGATTATTCAGTTTTCATATTAGCAAAGGAATCCAAAAATGTAATTCACTGGCGAATGGGGAAAACTCAACAGCAAAATACCAATTTAACTAAAGACCCTTCTGTATGGAGCAAAAATGTGGGGTAGATTCGACATTCCAGATGCCGGATCATGCCCATTTGGCAGCCCAACAAGAAGCCTATAAGAAGCTTCTGAAACATTGCCTATTAAAGAGACTATTTCATAACCTAGAACAACTGTGGAGAAGACCATACAATGGACTTGTCACAACATATATGAAACATGATGCAACAAGAAAAACACAGGATCTTTCTTGTTTCTGCTGCCAACCTAGATTTCTAAATTATACAGTATTTCATTCATATTAATCCAGAGCCTTGGCTATCAATAACAGGTGTGTCCACATAAATCCATAGGCTGAGTTCACCCGAAGAGAAACAGTTCCCCTAAATATTTAAACCTAAAGCTATGAATGGCCTAGCTTGTTTTGGTCAATACAAAGAATCTAAGCATAAACTATGTCCCAGTCTGCACTTACCATTTAATGTAGTTTGAAGCTAGCTAGCTTCAAACTGTAGCAGCTAGACAACAAACTCCCACAAAACTGTGTAAAAGAAAGCACTTAACGTGAATCAGTACTCTGTTGTTTATGAAATTGCTATGCAGGCCTCAAAATGCTTCCAGGAGTTCCTATATAATTATCTGAACAGCAAAACCCCTTTCTTCAGTATTGGTTTGAAATTGCATTTATTGGTCAGTGTAGATGTGTTCATAATTTTTGCAAAGAAGTCTGAAACATTTAAATTGTTTTTCTGGTGCAGTCTACCCGTCATAGAACTTTTCTAATAGCTAACCCTACCGGTTATAGAAGCACATATAAACACAGCAAGTCCCTTTTTTCCCCAGCCCTATCTACCCTACCCTACTCAAAACCTACCTAAACCCATTTCCTATTATACTGCTTCCTTTTTTTTACTTTTTCTCTATGTATACCAAGAAAACCCCCAATAAAATATATAGAAAGAAGTACAACACACATAAGAAATAAAATTGATATAAGGCACCTCTGGGGCCTGTCAAGCCTTGTTTACCATGCAGTCAAGCAAGGTATCCCTAGGCTAATCAGATGTGGAAACTAACACTTCATCTATCCTAAAATGGCCTTCCACATTCAAAAATTAAGATGTTTATTTTTTTTATAATAATTTTTATTATGTTTTCATACATACTTTAATACAGCGTAGAAAGAATAAAGAAAAAAAAACATAAAAGAAGAAAAATAAAAGAAGAAATAATAATAATAATAATAAAGGAAATAATAGTGAAAGAGGATGAATAAAAACATTGGTTCCCTCCACCTCTACCCTTTTGTGTCTGTGGTCTGACTTCCCAACGTCCTCTGAGCGTATCGTGAAGAAGAGAGGAGTGTGGATTCCTCTGTTCTAATTTCCAATATTTGTATTTTTCTTCCTTCTTTTTACCAGCGTAGTCTCTGTCGAAAACCTTTTTTTTTTATGTGCTGGACCAGTCTATCAATAATGGAAAACCTCTTTTTGTAATAAAGTCCTTGAGTCCTGACCAGTCAGTCTTTTTGTTTGATCCTTTTAATCTTTGGGATAGTTCTTCCATTTGGATAATATCAAATAGTTTAAGAATCCAATCTTCTATACTGGGTATCTCCTTCCGTTTCCAGGACTTGGCCAATATTATCCTCGCTGCCGTGCTCAGTAGAAACAGGATTTTGTCCTGATTTTCGTCCAGTTTCTGTGAGGTTATACCAAGTAGATATGTTTCTGGATTTTGGGGAAAGCTAATTTTGAGTATTTTTTGTGCTGCCTGGTGAATACTTTTCCAGTATTTCTTAATTTTTTTGCAGGACCACCAAAGGTGGAAAAAAGTTCCCTTCTCTCGGCCACACTTCCAACAACTGCTAGATAGCTTTCTGTTAATTTTTGCCAATTTGTCTGGTGTTAGGTACCATCGGAAGAACATTTTGTACCAGTTCTCCCGCAAATCGGTGGCTACTGTGAATTTTAGCTTGACATTCCAAACTTTTCCCCACAGATTTGCTGTGATCAAAAGCTGCTCTTGAAATGAATGGGGCATCAGTTCTTCCAATAAAATATTTAAGATTAGCATTCAATAGCTTTTGAGTGGGTCCTAATTTATTTAGAGCATTTATATTCTTACAACAACCTAAGGCAGATGTCACAGGTTATAAAACAATACCTTTTGCAATAAAAGAAAAACCTCACTGATATCCATTTATTAACACTATGCATACATTGTAAAATTAATGAAATACATATTATTTGAATATATCATATTATACAAGAATAGTTGAGCCAGATGGATTGTCTAGATTGATATATTATATTCATTTGCTGGCAGTACTGTCAATGCAAAAAGATCTATAGGACTAGACAAATCATAGCTAGTTGTCTTAATTAATCCTGTTGTCTTGAGAGACAAGATATACTGGACTTGGATTAAATGTGCCAAATCTCTAATGGATACACATTTTTTATTTTTAAAATATATGTCATTTTCTATTCTTAGGCTTAATTACTCCTAATTAGAGTAGAGACAGCCATCCACATTCACTCAAGTTAGGGGCATAGAACACCTGTAAAACTGCAAAAAAAAACCCCTGCAAAATGAATGAATGAATGAATTTTTTGACCTAAGAGAACACTTTTGTTGGAATGTATAGGTCTTTCAGCATAACTTTATGGTCCACTTCTACTTGATGTTGACCACATAATCACAATGGAGAACATAATTATATCCCCTCTAGGAAATCTCTAGGTCCTCTATCATATCTGTATGGTTAATTCCCGAAGAACCACACAACTATGCTGGAGGACCTAGAGATTCCTAGGAAGAACATTATAATCAAATCCACAAATATTCAAATCTACAAATGTCAAATCCACAAATATTGAGAGATGACTGTATATGAACTTAATCAAGAAAACATATTTTTTTTATTAAATAGGTTCTCATTGCCACAGTGTTTGGAAAGTATAGCTGAATTTAGGCCTTAGCATGCATATTAAGCGACAGAATGGTGTAGTAGTTTGAGTGCTGGACTAGGACACCAGGAGACCAGAAGAGTTCAAGGACACACCCCTCAGAATAAATTTGGCCAAGAAAATCTTTGGGTTGTCAGAAGTCAGAAATTATTTAAGGCAAATAAGAACAACAAAGATATTTATGTCTAAGTCATGCAATTATATTTTGGGTTGTTGTAAGTTTTTCGGGATGTATGGCCATGTTTCAGAAGCATTCTCTCCTGACGTTTCACCTGCACCTATGGCAGGCATCCTCAGAGGTTGTGAGGTCTCACAACCTTTAAGGATGCCTGCCACAGATGCAGGTGAAACATCAGGAGAGAATGCTTCTGGAGCATGCCATACAGCCCGAAAAACAACACAGTGATTCCAGCCATGAACACCTTCGATAATACAACTATATTTTGTCGGAAGAAATAGTTCAGGAGGGAAAATTGATGTTGGATTAATCTTTATACAAATTATAAAATAAGAACAAAATTACATCTGTTCTATTTATATTATATCAGATTAATAATGCATGGAAAAGGAAATTATAAAAATGGTTTATAATATATTAAGTGCTTTAATTATCTTGGGGCATAATAACATCACAACACAGCTTTAAAAAGAAAGCACACTGTAATTTTTTTATGCTTCAGAAATAAAATATAAGCTGTGCAAAATATTTAGCACTGAATTTTTTGATTGTCCCACTGCATTCACAGTTGATTATCATTTTTATATTATGTGACAAGAAAATATAACCATCAACAGTAATCCATTAAAGGGACACATGGGGCCCATGTACTTTAATTCTGTGTTACAAATAAAAATTACAGTGTCTGAGCAACTTGACAATTCCTTTCCAAATGAAATTAATTGGAAACTCATTATGTTAAAAAGGTAATCAAATTCAAAATGCCTTGAAATAGCAATAATTTATACTGTCAACAACTCAGTGGAACACAGTGCCATAGATGACAAGGTTTGAGATCCATTTCAATGGTAGTAGAGAAGATAGTCTTGACAAAATAAGAGATCATTATTGCTTATTATTAGTCAAACCACTAAATCTCTATTTAGTCAAGTGGCTTCACAGAGTAGGATCTTGGCTCTGGGAAACTTGCATCTTTCAAAAAAATAATTTTTACATAGTGAAGATTGTATTTAAAATAGGATGCTGTATGAACACAATAAGATTGCTTAGCTTACATATTAAGGATGGAGCTACATGGGTTCATACATGCAGTGCTCTGCTTACCAATGTCATAGGCCAGGAAATCAGCAGAAAAACACTTTGCCCCATTACTCAGTGAAGTATCATTATGCGTGTTTCCACCAAAAATTAGCATGGCTCCACTGATCAAGACGGCTGAATGGAGATATCTAGCAAAACCACTCTCTTTCAAAATTGTCCTGTAAAGGAAAATAAATTGAACACTAATATGAGTGCATGAGACAGAAATTATAACAATAAGATCCAACTAGTACTCCGAGCCAGTAAATTCATTTTTAGAAATACTCCTACAAATAAGTAACATTATCATCCCTCTATATTCACAGGTTCGTTATCTGCGAATTCAATCATCCATGGCTTGTAAATTTTTTTTAAAAAAAATCTGAAAAGTAAGCCTTGATTTTTCCATTGTATATAAAGGTCACTATTTTATGCACCATAGAAGTTGAGCATCCACAGATTTTAGTATCCAGGGGCTGAAGCAAGGTCTTAGAGCCAAACTCTATCAAATACAAGGGTCCCACTGTAGAAAGTTTGGCCCTTCTCAAAACAGCCCAATAACTGTTCATCCACTCCTTTCGAAATTTACCATTGGTTGATACTGTTGTATGTTTTAAATATGGAAACCCAGTTGGGCTGCCTACTTACATTTTTATTGCTTTCTTGATTTTTCTCCTACTTCTAAGGAATAAAAATGTTATCCTGCTTTCCAATAGAAGTTTCTGAATCTTTGATAATCTATCAGGAGGGAGGGGGGCTGTTGATCCTGAAATAATGATACTACAGAGGCCACATTACATGTACTTAGAACCTGGCAACCTTTAGAACAAAATATTTCCAGCACTAGGAGCTGCACCTTTTCTATCAACGAGATTTATGACTAGTCAGAGAATTCACATCTAAATGGGTTCTACTTTAGCCAGTAGCAGCACCCAGAACGGTCACATGAAATTGCACAAGTCCCAAGTCATTTTAAACTTGTAGGGCTGCAATGGTACCTGGGAAAGAGGAGGTTATGTTCCTAGGTCATGGCATTAAAAGAACAATTAAGTATCAACTGAGGCCCCTTCTACACTGCAATATAATCCAGATTATCAATACAGATAATCCACATTATTTGCTTTGAACTGGATTATATTAGTCTATGCTGTTTCATAATCCAAATCAGATAATCTGGATTTTATATGGCAATGTAGAAGGGCCCTGACTGAAAGTTAAGGCAAGATCAGAAATATATAAAAACATCTGTCAATTATCTTCAGCTGTTTAATAACATCAAATATTCTTACCATGTCCTCGTATTAACTTCATATCTGTAAAGGTCATCAACCAATCCATATTTATTACCCGGCAATGCTTTGTATCCTCCATGGACATAAATGGACTTTGTTGTACCATCATAGACACTGGTATGGCCATATCCACCTTGCACAATTGCGCCTTTTGTTTCTGGTACAAGCCAAGAATTTGACCCTTGTTTGTAAATGGGAAAACAAAGTGAAAGAGGTAAAATGCAATTTTATTCTTGTTTTTAAAAGTGACCATTTTTAAAATAAATCTTTAAAAAAATTACTTAGAAAAAATTGTTAAACATTCATATGATAGCTTATACAAGGATAACGCTATATTTAGCCTACCAGATGTTATTACACCACAATTTTCAACATTCCTAATTAACACATTACTGGATTATTGTAATACATTGTTTGCAGGCAAAGATTCTACAGAATCGTTGCTTTCAAAGAACTGGAGTCAGATTGTTAAAAGGAACAATCAACTTTCTTGTAGCAACTATTCCATTGGCTGCTTTTCTGTTTCTGGACAGCATTCAAAGATATGTAGGTTCTGTACTGTTTTAAGTCCAGGTTATTTGAATCATAGAATCGTAGAGTTGGAAGAGACCTCATGGGCTATCCAGTTCAATCCCCCGCCAAGAAGCAGGAAAATCGCATTCAGAGCCCCTCTGACAGATGGCTATCCAGCCTCTGTTTAAAAGCCTCCAAAGAAGGAGCCTCCATTACATACCAGGCCAGAGAGTTCCACTGCTGAACTCATGGTCAAGAAGTTCTTTCTCATGTTCAGGTGGAATCTCCTTTCCTGTAATTTGAAGCGATTGTTCTGTGTCCTAGTCTCCAGGGCAGCAGAAAACAAGCTTGTTCCCTACTCCTTCCCCTCATCTATTTATACATGAGTACCCTGTTACAATAGATGCCTTCTATTTAGTAATTTTAAATATGTACTTGCTTAGAAACTAATTATCCAATATTCATAGGTGACTACCATTATTATATTTTCAGGTTACAGTTTATACGATGAAAGATCACCTTGAAACAATTTGCAACATAAACGTTAACATATTCTGCTACCACAAACAATCAAATAATTTGCCATTCATCTCCCTCTACTTTAAAACCAGTTTATGTATATTAATATTGTACTGTCGCTGATCCAAAAAGCACTGTTTTTCATCACCCAGAAATTTAATTGGCTCTTCTAGGTCTATGTATCAAAAAAGTGCCAAAGAATTTAGTCATTTCTCTTTCATTTTAATATTTATATTCCAATTTATCTTCAAAAGGGGAATTTAAGCTGGTTTACAAATAAAAAATTATACATGTCTGCAAATAACAATACAAATTTCTTCTCATTGACAACCCAAGTAAACTATAATTTTAAGTAGACTATAAAAGGATCCACAGTGGCACAATCTATCAAACTCTTGTGCTGCTGAACTGCTGACCTGAAGATTGGAAATTTGAATCTGCGGGACGGGGTGAGCTCCTGTTGTTAGCCCTAGCTCCTGCCAACCTAGCAGTTCAAAAACCATGTGAGTAAATAGGTACCACTTTGGCGGGAAAGGCATAAGACACTCAAAGCAGTCATGCCAGTCACACAACCAGGAGGTGACAATTCAAGCTACTCAACTTGGAAATGGAGAATGGCACCTCCCCCAGAGCCAGAGATGAGCACCGCCTCCAAAGCCGGAAATGAAAGGAGAAGCCTTTGCCTTTGTTTGTGTTTGTGTGTCTCACTGTATTGTAACAAGGCATTGAATGTTTGCCGGTATCTGTTTACACTGTAATCCGCTCTGAGTCCCCATGGGGAGAAGCACAGAATATAAATAAAATATTATTATTATTGTTGTTATTATTGTTATTATTTTAAATGATTGGGACAGCTTCAACTAGTCCACAAGCTATAGCTTTCCTGGACAAGAATAACCACAATAGCCACAGTAGTCCATTCCATGGTAAATTTCCCATTACATTACAACACACTGTATACAGGGTTGCCCTTGAAGATGTGCTAGTGTCAAGTGCAGCAAAGGGGTTGCTGGCAGAAGCAATAGAAACCACATAAAATCAGTCTTACACACACACACACACGTTTTAATTGTATTAAGCTAGTTGTAACAGTTAATGCATTTTAACTCAGTTAAAATTATTTTCCATGTTTTAAACTATGTATCATTTGAAATAATTACAATTTATTTTACTTGTACACTACCCCAACAATCCATGACAAAGTGTGAAATATACATGTTATAATAAAAATAAAAAATAGAGCATCTAAATTAGAAGGGTGTATATTTTTAAAAATTATATATTGGTGCACTAAACAAGTGAAATAGCAATAACTTTAGAAAGATGTTACCATACATTTAATCTGAAACCACTGAGTGAAATCATTACTTGAAGGAATTTATTAGGCCTGGGTAACAACGGAAAAATTTGTTTCTAAAATCGATTTGTATTTGGGGGTTTTTTTTTCGATATTTAAAATAATTACAAAATTTTCCTTTTAAAAAGTTCGATATTTACGAAATTTCGTAAATGGTAAAAAATTAACGAATCGATTTCCGAAACAATAATGAATCGATTCGTTAATGGCGGACGCGACCGCGAAATACGCTAAAAAACCTCCAAAACCTTCTGAAGCTTCCCTCTCCCTCTGTTGTTGACTGTTGGTGTGATATTATAATTTTTTTTCACTAATTAAACAAAAAACTTGCCCCAGACATGCGGAAATAATAACGAAACGACCTCAGAACAATAACGAAACGAATACAATAACGAAATACGAAGCATTTACAAAACGTTTTTGAAAATTCGTTTTTTTTAAATAATTGCTCCAGAATGGTTCGTTATCGTTTTTTAATTGAAAAAATTAACGAATTATTAACGAATTACGAATTAACGAAACGAAACCGCCCAGCCCTAGAATTTATCTTTAAAATTTTCAAATAAAAACTTGGTTGTCAAACACATTACAGAAGGCTTTGTCATAACCCAGTGGTACAGAAAGTGTTTAAAAACATTTAAATTTCAAAGGTATGAAGCTGTTTTCTGTGTCAGAAAGACCTAATTAGGGTAGTTTTAATTACTGTATGTTGTTGTTAACTGCCATCAAGTTACAATACTAACAAAGTTTTTACTACTAAAACAAAGACACTGCCTTTGGATGAGAAATGCCATAAGGCTCAGGAGTTGTATCCTCAGATATGATATGACACATAACTGTTAAAAGATTCAGGATTCACATTCAAAAGTGCCCTATAAATGTCTGTACTAGGAATATATTCTAAGAAGGTGAGCAAGTTTCTGTATCTGAGGCAGTATGTTTAATTGGTGTTTATGTTTTTATCTTTTGCTATATATTAATCGATTGACCCCTGCTTGAATCCATAAAGAGCTGAATGAAAAATAACAGCAATAATCATTATTATTATTGTTGCTGTTGTTGTTTTCATCATTCTTTATATGCACTCTTGCCTTTTTTTTTACTGAGTTTCTGTATTTACTGATTTATGTTTATGAAGACATATGTTATTCTTAGAATACTTCTGAACCTAGACACATCGTCAAATGGCACCATGAATACAAATGTACTCAGCAAGACTGTAGGCTGTAATAAGTATTTTCATTCAAAAGTGAAAACCACTGCTGCAATAGTACAGTATTAAACATATATGGATTATTATTATTATATTGAAAAATTCAAGAGGTTGGGGATTCTAAAGTCATTCCCATTGAATGACTGGACAATTTTAGAGACATTGTTAGCTTCAATAAAATACTTTCACACTGCCGTCATCACCTGCTGAAAAGTCACATACTATTGCTCTTAACTAGTATCAATAAACTTTCATTAAACCCTTTAGAAATAAGTCTACCCTATTCTTGAATATGCTTCTTTTACTGTCTAAAAATAATAAGAAACCACCAGTTAAATTACAACAAAAGCTGGGATAAGTCTATATGCTATGTATACCCATGTATAAAGTGAGGACAGGGTTTAGGGCCAAAATTATGAATTTTGTTATGACTTATTGATAAGGTGAGTGTCAACCTACAGAGAGGAGAAAGAACCAATATTGCCATGGGGGAGGGGCTCAAAAAGCGAGAAGTGGGAGCATGTTACAGAGAATAGAGCGGATTGGTGTTTCTTTAAGGCTCTTTTAGGAAGGAATAAGTTCTCACCTTTTGTCACAGAGAAGATGATGTTCCTTTTTTGGTAAGAGTCTGCGTACAGTACTTACATTGTTCAATGGATAAACCAACCATGCATTTAATGGGGTTGATCCTAATTAACATTTCTAGACTTATGCAAGAGTATATAAGGTAAGTAGCAAATGTATTCACTTACACTAAAATGTAGCACATAATACCTAAAGCATAAATATCCTGTTTTCTTGGAAATTCACTAGGAATCACACAGAAAACCTGCAATAGTTTCCTTTCCAAATCATTTTAATTCTCACACAGCCTTTACTCATTAACATTTCAGCAAATGAAATCCCAACACTGTGCTCCTGGTTTGAAAGTGTTATTTCCCCTTTAATTGTGTGGCACTTACTTTGTAAGTAGTTGCTACACTCCTGAAACTTAGTTTTTGTGGCTACCAGAAACTGTGTTAAATTGGTTGAGATATTCTATGAGATATTCATTGAAAAACTATAGAAAAATGTGCTGCAGGGTATCTCACAAAAACAAGGGTTTTGCAGTTTAATAAACTTTTTTCAATGTTTTTATGATAGAACCAATTAGAAAATCACATTTATAACTCAGGAACAAAAATCGTGTTACATAGCGTACTCTGGCTCAAAATGTCCTATTCCTGTTGACTTTAATTCATTCCAAGAATTGCAATGTTTATATGTTCCATGTCTCATTTTACTATATCTGGCTTGCCCTGATTTCTGCTTTTCACTTCAGGATTGTGGTGGAGATTAGGGGTACTCCCGTCTCTGCTCTCACTGCAGCTGACAGGGATGATCTCTCCACACCTAAGCCAATTTTCAGGTGGCGCAGTTGGAATCTCTCTACCAATAAAGGGTCTTGCTCACCCCATATTTCAGCTCCATACAAAGTGATGGGGAACACCTTTGCCTTAAGAACCTTCAGAAAGGGGCGCAGAGAGCCCGGGTAATTGTGGTTGCATAATTTATGAACTGCCTGTGCAGCATTATCAGC